GACTAAGAGAAAATCTTCACCAACCCGGAAACTGACAAAGGTCTGATCTCCAAAATATATAAAGAACTCAAGAAACTAGACCGTAAAAGGCTAATCAACCCAATTATAAAATGGGGCACTGAGCTGAACAGAGATCTCTCAACAGAAGAAGTTCAAATGGCCAAAGGACACCTAAGGTCATGCTCAACTTCCTTAGTGATCAGGGAAATGCAAATCAAGACAACTTTAAGATACCATCTTACACCTGTCAGAATGGCGAAAATCAAAAACACCAATGATAGCCTTTGCTGGAAAGGTTGTGGAGAAAGGGGTACACTCATCCATTGCTGGTGGGAATGCAAACTTGTGCAATCACTCTGGAAAGCAGTGTGGAGGTTTCTCAGGAAATTCGGGATCAACCTACCCCTGGACCCAGCAATACCACTCTTGGGAATATACCCAAGAGAGGCCTTATCATACAACAAAAGTATATGCTCTACTATGTTCATAGCAGCATTGTTTGTAATAGCCAGAACCTGGAAACAACCTAGATACCCTTCAAATGAAGAATGGATGAAGAAAGTATGGAATATATACATATTAGACTACTACTCAGCAGTAAAAAACAAGGACTTCTTGAAGTTTGCAAGCAAATGGATGGAAATAGAAAACACTATCCTGAGTGAGGTAAGCCAGACCCAAAAAGAGGAACATGGGATGTACTCACTCATATTTGGTTTCTAGCCATAAATAAAGGACACTGAGCCTATAATTCGGGTTCTTAGAGAAGCTAAATAAGAAGGAGAACCCAAAGAAAAACATATAGGCATCCTCCTGAATATTAACCTTCATCAGGCGATGAAAGGAGACAGAGAAAGAGACCCACATTGGAGCACCGGACTGAAATCTCAAGGTCCAAATCAGGAGCACAAGGAGAGAAAGCATGGGCAAGGAACTCAGGACCGCGAGGGGTGCACCCACACACTGAGACAATGGGGATGTCCTATCAGGAACTCACCAAGGCCAGCTGGCCTGGGTCTGAAAAAGCCTGGGTTAAAACCGGTCTCGCTGAACATAGCGGGCAATGAGGACTACTGAGACCCCAAGAACAATGGCAATGGGATTTTGATCCTACTGCACCTATTGGTTTTGTGGGAGCCTAGGCAGTTTGGATTGCTCTTTGGGCTGACGAGGGAGGGGGACTTGATTGGGGGAGGAGGAGGGAAAGGGGAGGCAGTGGTGGGAAGGAGACAGAAATCTTTAATTAATTAATAAAGAAATAAATAAATTAAAAAACCCTTCCATTTACATTTTTATGGGATTCCTGAGTGTGTAACTATTGGTCCCTGATTCTTGTGCCTTCTCTTGAGGTCTTTCCTTCTGTAGGTTTGTCTTGTCCAAATTCAATGTGACAGGTTTTGTTTTACCTTATATTTTATCTTGTTATGTTTTATTACTCTCTCATAGAAACCTGTTCTTTTCAGAGAAAGAAAGGAGATCCAGATGGAATAGGAGGTGAGGAGGAACTGGGAGGAGTTAGGGAGAAGAAACAGTAATCAGGATATATTATGTGAGAAAAGAATCCATTTTCAAAGAAAAAATAAAAGTATTTAAAGCAATCTAAATAGAACAGAATAGCATCTAACATAACTTATTGTACTGTATCATGCTTTTCTCCTTAGACTATATTTAGAACTTTTATCCAAGAAGGCTTTAAAAAAGTTGGAAGTTGAGCATGACCTTAAGTGTCCTTTGGCCATTTGAACTTCTTCTGTTGAGAGTTCTCTGTTCAGCTCAGTGCCCCATTTTATAATTGGGCTGATTAGCCTTCTACGGTCTAGTTTCTTGAGTTCTTTATATATTCTGGAGATCAGACCTTTGTCAATCGGGGTTGGTGAAGATCTTTTCCCAGTCAGTGGGTTGCCTTTCTGTCTTAGCGACAATGTCCTTTGCTTTACAGAAGCTTCTCAGTCTCAGGAGGTCCCATTTATTCAATGAGGCCCTTAATGTCTGTGCTGCTGGGGTTATACGTAGGAAGTGGTCTCCTGTAACCAAGTGTTGTAGAGTACTTCCCACTTTCTCTTCTATCAGGTTCAGTGTGTTTGGACTGATATCGAGGTCTTAAATCCAAAAAATTCGGGATCAACCTACCCCTGGACCCAGCACACATTGGAGCACCGGACAGAAATCTCAAGGTCCAAATCAGGAGCAGAAGGAGAGAGAGCACGAGCAAGGAACTCAGGACCGCGAGGGGTGCACCCACACACTGAGACAATGGGGATGTTTTATCGGGAACTCACCAATACTTATTTTCAGGCCTGGGTCTGAAAATGCCTGGGATTAAACCGGACTCACTGAACATAGCGGACAATGAGGACTACTGAGAACTCAAGAACAATGGCACTCGGGTTTTGATCCTACTGCACGTACTGGCTTTGTGGGAGCCTAGGCTCACCTTACTAGACCTGGATGGAGGAGGGTGGTCCTTGGACTTCCCACAGGGCAGGAAACCCAGATTGCTCTTTGGGCTGACGAGGGAGGGGGACTTGATTGGGGGAGGGGGAGGGAAATGGGAGGCGGCGGTGGGGAAGAGACAGAAATTTGTAATAAATAAATAAATTAAAAAAAGTTGGAAATCTTTTGGTGTTGGACTGTAATAAAAATGTCATCCTTGATGAAATTCTTGATTTTAATCTTCATTATTACACAGTTTAAGATCATCAAAAAAATGTGAGCTTTCAAAAGAGCCTTATGTGCATTCAACTGTGTGTGAGGAGCTACATCCATAGGCCACCACATCTTCAAAGTAAAAATGTCACCTCTTTTAAAAAAAGAAAAGAAAATATATCTACTTGGAAGTACATGACTTGAAACATCAAAATTTGAACAAATTAACCAAGTTTGGATGAACACCAGGAAGAGTTGGCCATCAGTGCCCTGACACATCAATGACACTGCTTTTGACAGAGGCCAAGGTGGAATAATAATTCTTGGCCTGGTGGAAATATAGGACTGACTGGTGCAGGTAAGAGCTAAACTCCAGGATGCAGAGCCCATGACAAAGAGCCATCTACACGTGTCCTACTTATCTCAAGGAGAAGGAGGAGATGAAATGGGCTTTTGAAATAGAACATGCCATGTAACAAATCCCCATTTATTAAATTAAAGGACATATAAGGCCTTAAGGTAACTTCTTTGTCACAGGAGTCCAAGACAATTCAAAGATATGATGCTGTGGGTTAATAGTCCTCTGTCATCTTGACGACCTCAGCCCATTTGTTTCATTTGCATGAACACACAAGCTACAGTTCAATATTTCAAAATTCATGCATAATTTAAAAACCTAGTTCACTAGAGGCAAAAAAATAAAATTCTAACTTAAAATTATTCATGAAACTCCAGAAAAGAGCAGAGTACACAGCATTTGAAGATGATTTTTGAAATGTGAGAATTTTAAATTTCCTTTTTAAAGATTTAATTTCATTGTTTTTAATTATGTGTAGATACATGTGGCTGCACGTGAGTATATGCGTATGAGTGCAGGTACCCACACAGGGCAGGAGCATTGGGCTCCCTGAAGCTGGAATTACATATGGTTGTAAGTCACCTGATGTACTTGAAAATGAACTCAGGTTCTTTGGAAAAGCCTCAAGTGCTCTTACCCCCTGAGCGGTCTCCCCAGCCCCAATAACTTGATTTTTTTTTTAAAATGTAGTACATCTTCAAACTTTTGGTTTTGATTCTAATATTTAAAGGTATGTAACCTAAGAGAAATGTTAATAGTAACTTTATCAGTATGTGAGACTGTAGAAAGTGGGGAACATAGTCTAAACATTTTGTAACTAAACAGAGCTGTCCATGGAAGTGCAGGGTGATGTATCTGTGTATTTACTCCACATCTGCTAACAATTCAATTCAACAACCTTATAAAACATATAAGATAAAGGCATCAGTAGAATTTTTAGAATCTTATCAGGTCTAAACACACTGAGTAATGTCTATTCCTTGAAAACATAAGCAAGTATACTTGGTATGATGTTGATGCTTTCCTTATTAATTTCTACATTTTCACATAAATTTAAAATTTATTATTATTATCCACGTACTTTTATGCATGAGAAATTGATCTTTTTCAAAAGACACTTTTTCTTTATGATACCAAACTGCTAGATAGAGACATAATCACACACAAAAATATGATATGCCCCCTTGTGGAGCATAGTTATCCCAAGTATCAAATTCTTACATTTAAAAAAAAAATGAGTCCAGTTACAAAGGAGATTGTGAATTATATCCATCTTACCTTGGCTAACACATCCAAATGATTGGTCTATTAATTCAATTAGAACAAAAAAAATTCTTGATCTTAAAAATACATAGTTTTTACTTTAACTCCCTTAATATATGTTAAGAATGCTTTACACTACATTCTATGCCAATTAATATGTCCAGGAAACATATGTAAATATTGTTTTCTGAATTGCAAAACACAAGAAAGAAATACCCATTTTTAGTTAGAATATTTTTAAACGCACATTGCCCCTTGGTATTCAGGATTGGACATGAAGTCTCATGCACAAAGGCCAATGTTCTCCTACTGATCTATTATGCCTCCCCAGGCCTTTTTTCACTCTTTATTTTAAGACAGGGTCATGCTAAGTTGCCCAGACTGGTCTTCAACTCCCCATGTAGCCCAGTTTGGCCTTAAACTTGTGATTCCCCTTGTTTTGGCCTCCACAAGTAGCTGGGACTACAGACTTCTGCCAGTGGGCTCAGCTTTAAACATGTTTCAATGTAGTATTTCATAATGACAATTTTCTTCCTGTGTCATTTTTTAAATGATTTCTTAAAATTCCTATCCATATGAATTGCCTTTTCATCCCACTTATAAGGTGGAATGGAAAAGATCTTTATGGTTGGCACAAAATTCCCATGCTTAATGAGCATCTCTTCCAGAAATCACGCACTGCATAACATTTATTGATGGAAACTTCTAGGCATGGCACAGATAGCGTACTTACTCGTCTATTTGACAAACGCTCATCTCCACCTCCTTCAGTGCAGCCTGGAGTTTGCCGAGCAGTTTGTGATAGATGTCTTGAGTTTCTAAGTCTTCTTCTTTCAATAAATATCGCAGTCCATGGCCATCTTTGTGTCCCAGAGACAGGCCCGAAGGGGCTGCCATGGTTGTGATTGTGTGTTGAATGTAGACCATGGGGCTCAGTTTCCCTGAGGAGTTCAAATCATTCCACCATTTAACGTCTACTTACGTAGCCCCCCAAATTTTAGAAGCCCAAGTTCATATATAACAAAATGTTTAATCCAATGCTAAATTTAATTCAGAAATTAACTACAAATAGAATCAATTCACATGTCCTATTGCAATGATTGCCATCATCCTCATGTGTCCCTCTCTGTACTTCCTTACTATTCCCAAAGCGACCATCATTTCAGATTATGAATTTTTCATGGCAAGATGAACTATACATATAATGAAAGTAAGGGAAATCCTCCTTCTTAAAGGGAAATACTGAAAGTCTTACCTGTCTTTATTCTATATATACTTAAATAAAATAATCTAAGCATAAACAAGGAATTCTTCCTTTATGAAAACAGAGGCTTCCATGAACACCGGGAATCTACCAGATTTTAAGATGTACACATAGATAGTCCTACTCTTGAATTGATAAAGTTTCAAAAGCTAGCATACCAGGCTCCGAAGATTTATTTTCTCTATCATGAGAGTTATGTTTCCTACTATCCAGCTGAACTCCGAAGGCACTCCCCAGGGAAGTTGATGTTTTAGGATAAGAAACTTCCATCACGTTGACATGGCAGTTGGTCGGGCAGAAGTCGCTGCTGTGCAGTGGGGAGATCTTGGATTTGGCCTGCTTAAAGGTGGGCCAGGCTCTGTTCTTCAGCACCCGAGAGAACTGCAAATTGAAGAAGCAACGGGAACCAGTTGGCCACACAGTAATGACTCAGCTATCTCCCGTGCATCAATCATAACCAACTCAAAAGGAAATTAAAGCTTATCAACCTGGATGAGGTAAAATGATTATAGCATCAGAATTTACAGGGCTGTTTCAAAACCCAAACATCCCAATAAAGCAAACCATACAGGCAGCAACGGTGACGGCTCAGCTGAAGCTGTGACCGTGAGTTGGGGCCTAGAAAGAATGAACCTCTGTGACAACACAACTTCTTAGCACTGGGTCCCCGGGGTCCCAGGAGCTGAGAGAGCCCGACAGAGAAACATACAGGAAGGGACACCAGAGCAGAAAGTGGAGTTTTAAAACTAGGCAAGTCAGCAAAACAGTACAGCTATAGATGGTCAAAGGTGTAAGAAGATGGGGCCATCCCAAGCATCATCCGAAAGCTACCCAATGTGTGAGTCTGTGCAGACCCAGTGCAAGCTAAGGAGGTGCTGGCCCAAAGCAGAAGGATGGGCTTCTGGTACACCCTGCCAGGAGGGTGGCCTTTATACCTGGGACCAATCGGAAGTCTGTTGTGCAATCTTCTTCCAAGCCTTTGATAATAATGTGCTACACAGATGATCTGTAACTTCCAAGTGTGGCTACCCTGCTACCCTAAAGTGGTAGAGGCTTTGCAGTGGACTCCATAAGCTCCTTCCAGGGTCTATGAAGTCAACAATATTGTGGCTCTCACCAGGCCTGCTCCCCCTTACTTTAAAGGTCTCACTCCTTAAACTCCTTCCAGCTTATACATAGCTCCTCTCATACATTACCCACTCGCTCTGGGCCTTTGTACAAGATGTTCAGTGTGTCTAGATGGTTCTTACTCATTGCCAAACGCTTTCTCTTCAGCAGCTTTGGATTCCAGAAAGTCACCAGGAGTTGTACATGAATTCTAGGTCAATTTCCTTTGCCTTGGCTACGAATTAGAAGGCATCTGCAGTCTTCTTCACAATTAGGAATAACCTCCTTCCTCTAGCTCAGCTGGTAGAAGGAAAAGTCTATGGGGTAACGATCTTTTGTACAAGAAGTAGATACCCCATAGAGCCCAGCTGGCTTGTTGTTTTGAAGGTCTTTGATGTCTTTTGACCTTGGTGTCGGGATTGTCGCAGGACTGGATATGACATTGGGAAAGTCGGTATCTTGTCACTCAGCAAATAGGAGCTTTGAATCAGATAATCCTACTGAGCTCTTCTCCTACAGCTACAGCCATGATCCTACTCTCTCATGTTACCAGAAAACTAATAATTCCAGCACTGAGAAGAACAAAAATTAAGACCATCACTGGTCACTGGACATTTTAAGTTAAACTCAATGGTAAATATAAAAGATCATATTCCATAAGTATAAGCTCACTATTAGGATAAAGACCCTCTTATATGCATACATAGTATATCACTGTACACAAAGCTATGTATAATATGCATCCTAAATATTTATATTTTATATTTATCTGTATATCTCAGTCAAGCAGTACAGCGGGGATCAGAATGAAATGCAAGAAATTATTAAGAAGATTTCCACCAAACATGATGACCACGTACACTGAAAAGAATTAAGTAATTTGAGAGAGTACAGATCTAGCTTCTCATTTTACTAATAAACTTTCAGCTGAGATGGGTCCAGGATTAAGGCAGCCTAGATACAAAAGTTCAACCCCAAATTCTTTTCTACTTTCATTTTGAGATTTAAGTCTCAGCTGAACTTCCATGAAACAGAGGCACGGTAGTATGTTGTGATAGCAAACACCCATCACCCATCCAGTGAGAAATAAAAGAAGGAGGTGTCTGTTAAGGCCTCCAAGTTAAACACTGAGGCTACAACCCCTATCCCACGAAGTATACACTCTAGGAGGAGAACAGTTAAACACTATACATATTACTGTTATTCAGAACAACCATAAAGTTACAGTCATATACACCACAAGTATAGATATATAAAATGATATGTGTGTAACAAACACATAAGAGATATACAAGCTAGGTGATCAGAAATTTTAAAAAGATCAATGAAGTGCTTAGGAGTAGGAGTAGGAACCAGAGTGATTTGAGATGGAGGGGTTGGAGCAGTGAGGTAGACTCTCAGATCCATATCACAACACAAATTCTTGACGCTATACCTGGAAAGAAATCATAGCCCTGTATCAGAATGTACCTGAATTAGTTCAACATAAGCATCTTGGAGGAAGGCTATCCTGAAAAGCAAAAGAATCAAGAAAGCAGCATTGTCCAGCATCCTAGGATGTCTAGTATGAATTTGATGTGTTCAGCAAATATATGTGTTAGAAATTGAATTCATGTTATGGTTTAAGTATGAAGACCTATGTCTTCAAAGGTTCCCAGCTTTTTGGCCAGAATGGCAGTGCTGGGATCTTTGGGAGGTGAGACCAGTTGAGAGGTCTTCAGGTTGGCCTGAAGAGCATGTTGTTCTTGAGTGGGATGTGAATCTCTCTGTCCCTGTGTCTCTATCTCTTTATATCTCTGGTCCTGTTATAAAAGCAAGCTTTCTTTGACGTGTTCACTGTCTCATGTGAGGCCCTTGCCAGATGTTCATCAGATGTTACCCGATCTTCAGTTAGCACAGTAAGTTGAAGAAGCATCTCTTCCTCATTAGTCACCCAGTCCATGGTACACAGTTACAGCATCACAACTTGGACTGAGGCAGACAACCTTAGGGAAGGAGGAAGCAACAGGGGTGTCTCTCCACTACTGGCGCCTGGAGCAGGGTGTAAAAGTGAGCATCCAGACACCAGCTCCCTGGTTTCCAGGGTAAAAATTTTCAGAAACAAAATCCTAAAACAAGGAGGGTACAGCTAGTGAATTGACCGTGCTGTGTATACCAGAATATACTTTACGCCATGTGTGACTAGCATTACAGCAACATTCAATGAAATGCCAAGTTTATTAAGAAAGGGAGAATAACTTTTCCTAAATGAAAATTGATAATTTTCAATAAAGGCATCTACTGGGTCTAGGGAGAGCTGTAAGGGACAGAATGTTAGGTCTACTGTGGAAGAGCACAGCCTGAACTGATTGCCACCTTCACATAATTACTGATGAATTAGAATCTGCATCTTCAGGGAGTTGATTCCAGCACATGGTTGGGATACTAAAAATCAAAGATGTCTCCTATATAAAGTGACATAGCACTTATATATGACTTTGCTTTTCATTTTTACATTAATTTACTTGTGAATGGCAGGGATGCATGCATTTGGAAGTCAGAGGACATCTTGCAGAAGCTAGTACTCTCCTTCTACTGCCTGGGTGCCAGAGATTTAAAAAAAAAAGGCTAACAGGGTTAGCAGGCATCTCTTTTACTTACAAAACAATCTCATCAGCCTGTAAACAACTTTAAAGTTATCCTTAACATTGTTTATAACGTACCTAGAACAATGTAAATCCTATATAAACATTCATTGTAATGCATTTTAAAATTTTGTGTTATTTTATTTTTCAAATTGCTTTTGATCTACAGTTGAGTGACTCTCTGGAGGTGGAACCACAGACATGAACATGGAGTGAGCCTAATGAAAGGAGGATTAATCCTGAGACAGAGAAAATAACAGAGGGGACATCATAGAGGGGTGGAATGGGGACTTCATTGAAAACACATTAGCTCTGAGATATTCATCACCTCATGTGGAAAAGTCAAGGCACAATGAAAGAACAGTAAGTACCGAGCCCTGGAGATCATCAATGAAGGGTCAGAAAGAAAAGGAGAAACAGGTTTCAGTCCTAGGAAAACACCACTGGCAAAGACACAGGTTAGGGACAGGCAGTGTTCCAGAGAACAAGGTCAGCTGCCCCTGGTTCTGCTGAAACACGATAAAGGAGGGTCGTGAAGGGGCTTTGACAAAACATGGCCATTTCTGTGACATGGCAGGGATCAGGGCCCAGCTGTAGAGGGCTGAGGATGAAAAGAGAAGCAATGGTCCACCGAAGGATACAGGAGGCTCCTTCCAGGAAGGAGATGGAAGGATGAAATCGTGGGTGGAGGGGAGGCAGAGGGCAAGGACAGCCACATTTTTAGTCCAGGTGATAATGAAGAAGTGCCTGTAAACTGACAGGGATGTGCAGTTCTTGGACATGAAACACTCCAGTTTTTTTTTTATGCACTGGAAGCAAATTCATGTTTAAATTCAATACAGTCATTTAACCAGAGATACTATAAAAGTAAATTATTACTCTGCAGATGTCTCCCATTTCAATTAAATGCAAAATGCTTTGCAGCAGAGTTAGGAAGAAGATTTTTTTATATTAGATTATCCTCTTAGAAAAGGAGGGCAAAGAAATTTATGCACAATGTTTCAAATCCATGTATCAGCTTGAAGATCATATGCAGTAAGTAAAGTAGAAAGAAAATTCAAAGGAAGTTTTCCAATTCTTTCAGTGTTATTTTTGTGTAAACAAGAACCACCTCAAGGAAGCTTACAAAGAATTTCTGATCCTCATAATAAGTTCAATTATTTCAACCAGGACAGTGACTGTAAGACTAGGAAGGCTCTCAGTACAGAGTTCTGAGAATGTTCCCAAAGCAAGACACAGCTTCTTCACACCTGAACCAACCACAGTTCAGCTACACAGAAGACATCCCTGCTTGAGATTCATTTAGTTGTCCAGGACACTCTATGGTTACATCAGACGTGGACAGCAACACGTTTGATGACCTGTAGAAAATCTGTTATGATCTCAGGAGCCTGGCCATAGAAGTTACTGGAATTCATTAGTTCTTAGTTCTAAAATCTAAAATGTTTAAAGCCAGAATAAAGAAAAGCCAGCCTAAGATTTTAGTTTCCACAGACACTTTTTAATATATAACAATTCTTTAATTTAAATATATTTTTATTATATTTTCCTTCCCCCAAATCCATTCATACCCTCCCTGTCCCTACCTACACAACTTTAGATTATTGCTCAAAAAAGAAGAAGAAGAAGAAGAAGAAGAAGAAGAAGAAGAAGAAGAAGAAGAAGAAGAAGAAGAAGAAGAAGAAGAAACCCTCAAAAACCCAACACAACGATAAAAGTACCTCAAACTAAGACAACAAAATAAACAAGACTCATCATGGATAAGAGATTTGAGACTCATCCAGTGACACATCTCACAGTGTGGTCTCTAATTCAGTGACACAATTTTATCATCTGTGATCAATGCCCACTAAGCTGGCCATGTCTTCATTAAAATGTCATAGGACCCTATGTTACTACTACATAAATGCAGAATGCCATTAATTCCCCCATACGGTGGACTCTTCACTATTTGGGCAGTGTATGCTTCTGAGCCCACTGCACTCACATCCCTTTCCTTTTTACACATATATTAGTTTCCTTGAGAAAATGAGAAATGACAGAACCTTACTCTTCCATAACCAAACCATCATATGCATGCGTGTTGCTCCCCAGACATAATTAGGATTGATCTCTCCATCTTTCATCGCATGGGCTTTGAACCATCCCAGGTCACCACCAATTTATATCTATGCAGGTTGAAAAGACAAGCGACATTGGCACTGTGACTCTCACCCGAGAACACATTATATTACATATTCTAAACAAAACAATCACTGGAAAACCCACATTCATTCCTTTTCTATTCTGATTGCAACTAACTCAAATCTTCCCTCCTAATCCGGGCACTAATCCACCTTCTCCATTAATTGTCCAGTCTAACTTCTAGACTAGCTGAATGGCATTTTGCCTTCCTGCCACCCTGATGTGCCTTTGTCGTGGCAGTGGCTGTTGTTCAAACAGGCTCTTGCTATTTAGCCCTGGCTACTCTGAAACTCACTACATAGATTAGACAGGCCTCAAACTCACTGAGCTTGACTTGCCTCTACTTCCCGAGTGCTGAGATTAAAGAGGCTAAGAAGCATACCCTGCCTAACATGCCTTTTATATTGTAAGAGCTACCATTGTTGACTATTCAAAACAGGGTTTTGTCCTTTACAGAAATCCTAATGTTCTTATGGTTGGTTCATTTTATTATGGAACATAGAGCCAGTGACCTATGTAATAAAAATATCTGCTACACAAAATAATCCATTCTGTTTCACTCATTCTTTGCAGAGTTCTGTTTTTGAGCACTACCTATGATACCTTGGTGTTGCCTCTGCAAAACCTTGTGTGACAACTAGTCAAAACTAAGAGAATGAGTGACCATGGGTACCCTGTCCCAACTGCTACATTTATAATCTAACTTCTGCATAATGACCCAGGGAACATAGCAGAATAGAGCAAGGAAAGATTCTACAAGCCAGAGGAGCAGGAAGTCTGCTGCTGGACAGTGTGTTTTAGACAGGACAGGGATATATACATTCATGAAAGTTCACCAATATGGATGCTTAAACAACGTGGATGGCAGAACTTTGAAGAAGGCCATAACCTTTGATGAAGTGCTACAGGCAAACAATGGTTGCAGACAGAGGGAGAAAGAGTTTTCTTCAAGGATGAGTTCCCTGATAGATTATCCAATCCTAAAACATGGGGCCTAAACACACATACATACAAGCAATACTAAATTACTAAATGGGCTCATTAGGTACACGTGCATGCACGTTCATACACAGAAGAAGAGGCTATGAATGGAGTAGGGGAAGCATGTGGGATAAGGGAGGGATGGAAAAATGGCATGAAAGATTTTCGTTAGAAAAATGAGCCTGAGAAAGACTACTGTGCTGGCTAGTTTTATGTCCACTTGACACATGTCAAAGATATCTAAGAGGAGGGAACTTCAATTGAGAACTTTTCTTTATACTACCGGGCTGAAGGACAGCCTCTAGGGTCTTTATTTAGAGACAGATGGAGGAGGACCCAGCCCATTGTGGGTGGTTCACCCCAGGGCTGGTGGTGCTCGGTTCTATAAGCAAACAGGCTGAGCAAGCCACGTGAAGCAAGGCAGTAAGTAGCTCCTCCATCCAGGTTCCTGACATGCTTGAGTTTCTGCCTTGACTTCCTTCCATGATGAGCAGCCAAATGAACTCTTTTCTCCCCAAGAGCTTTTGGTTATGGTGTTTTATCACAGCAAGAGTAACCTTAAGTAGGGCAACCACACATACTTACATACACATATCTCACAGGGGTTTGGGTAAGTATATAGTAGATTGTTTCCCTTTTCATTTAGGCTCCCATGAAGCAGAAGGCAGATAATGGCATTCGATTTTGGCAACTACACAAGATCTTGGGCTGTATTGTCATAGGACTATTTTCCTCATTTTTTTGTTCCTTTTCTGATTGTTGGTTTTTATTAGAAATGGGCCTTTATACAATGTATTCTGATTACAGTTTCCCCTTTTAACTCCTCCTAGATCCTGACTCCCCACCCACCCAACTTCACACCCAATCTTTTTCTCCCATTAGAATACAAATAACCATCTAAATAATAATTTAAAATAATATAAAATAAAAACAAACCAGAAGACGATGAAACAAACTACCAGAAATAAAAAAAAAGAGGAAAAGAAAAGCACAAGAAACACATATAGACACAGTTCGTACACAGAGAAATCCCATAAAAACATACTGGAAACCACAGTATATACATAAAAGACCTTCAAGGGGAAAAAGCCCACATAGTCTCAAGCATTTTGTTACAGCAACAGAAAACGGACCAAGAAAATTACATGAATATTATTTCAATAAATGAGTACATAGCACATATGTAAAGAAGATATTTAAAAGTGATTTAAATGTGACTCAAACAATAACTTCAATAACAGCATCATGTAAAATTCAACATACCTTCCTATAACTGGATATTCTGTGACATACGTGTTCCACTCTTTCATGGCACATGGTGCTGAATTTATTTTGAAGGTCAGTGGGTATCACATCATTCAAAGAATTAAGGCTGGTGCAGTTGTGCACAAAATGATCATCACTTTTTGCTAAAGCTTCCAGAATCTGTGGCGATTAAACAGACACAAAAGGAAAGTAACCTCAAAAGTGAGCACGAACAATTTCCATAAGTTAGCCCTTGCAGTTGCCAGGGTTCTGTGATCCACAGACACAGCCTGTGAACTGGTTTGCCTTCTCAGGTTTGCAATCTCCGGGGTTGCCTTGTCTTGAGGATAAAAGCCTGCTTGGGGAGCCAAACTGACTTCAAAGGCTCCCTGCTGGATAAATCATCTCACTCTGATGTGGGCACACAGCTCCTGGACTTCTCTCATGCATTCACTCAGAAGATTTCCACCTTCACTTTGGTGGCGGAACAACAACCACAAACCCAGGGGGAAAGCCTTGACATCCTTGTCACCTAGTCGGATCACTAGAGGAGCAAAGTTCTGCCTGCTGAGAGACAGAACAAATGAAATCGTCTCATAATCTTATAGACCTTTATTTTACATGTTATGGTTTCTGATTCTGTGTTTATGGACTTTCTCTGTGTGCGAAAGTGTGTGTCCCAGTGTCTCTATGTGTTCCTGGGGCTTTTTTCTTAATCTATTTTCCTTTTGTTTTGTTGATTTTGTCCTTTCCTGGTTTGTTATTATTTACTTACTTATTATAATTATTATGAATGCTTGTTTGTATGTTGGTAAGTAAAAGAAAGAATGGGTGTAGATTTGGGCCTTGGACTTCCCAAAGGGCAGGGTACCCTGCCTCTCTTAAGGAGGGAGGGAGAGTGGGAGAGCACAAGGTGAATTTGAAGAGTGAAGGAAGTATAAATTTTTGAGTGGAAAAATAAAAAAAAAAGAAAGAAAAAAAATGAAGAAGAAGTTTACTGTCGTGGAGTCACGCGTACCTTGGCAGTGAGGCTGAAGAAGCCTTTGGGCTCCACCATCTTCTCCACGACGTTGCACTTGGTGCCTGCTGTGCTGTCGTATTCGTACACAACCCCATACTCGAGGTGGACATTGTCCACTGTCAGGCTCACGTGCTCCTTCTTGCCGTCGATAATGGCCATGGTGTTGAACTTGTCGATGACCTCTGGAACACAACGTTAGTATAGCTAATTCATGGTTTTCTGCTCACCAAATATTTTTGAATCCCTGGGATTTTCTTATTATTTTTATTTTACTTTTGACACAGAATCTTACAATGTACCCTTGGCTCACCTGGAATTTACCAAGTAGGCCAGACTGACTTTGAACTCAATAGACATCTGCCTTGCTCTGGAGACCAAGTACAGAAACAGAAATGAGAGTGTTTCCAACAGATCTCTCTCTCTCTCTCTCTCTCTCTCTCTCTCTCTCTCTCTCTCTCTCTCTGTGCGTGTGTGCGTGTGTGTGTGCGTGTGTGTGTATGTGTGTGTGGTATGTGTGTATGTGTGTGTGTGCATGTGTGTGTATGTGTGTGTATGTGTATGTGTGTGTGCGTGTGTGTGTGTATGTGTGTGTATGTGTGTGTGTGGTATGTGTGTATGTGTGTGTGTGTGTGTGTGTATGTGTGTGTATGTGTGTGTGTGGTATGTGTGTATGTGTGTGTGTGTGCGTGTGTGTGTGTGTGTAGTGTCACAAGCATAGATATTTACTTCTTCTCTTATTGTCAAGGTAGGAATATAACAAAACTTACTTGAAATAAAGAGGCTACAGACTATCTCAACACCAGGACATCTTGTATGTACATGACCATGTGAAACAGAACTTACGAAAATGGGGACCTGAGCCATCAGACCTGAGGTAGAGATAGAGAATCCACATGTCTGCCAAGCTTCCAAGAACACCTACTATGGTGAGTCCCATAGGAACAGAAACATCTAAATGACTTTCACCTCCAAGGGGGAAATCCTGGCTTGGATCCACCGTCTTACCTCCTATGGCTTAACTAGCACACTAGACTGTTGTCCTAAATGGGCTCAATTTCTTCTTCCCTAAAGAGAGTGTCTGGAAACTGATGAGAACATCTAGGAAAATCCTGCAAAGGGGCCTGCTGCAAAGCCTGTGATGCTCAGCTGTAATCCCAGCATTTAGGAGGCAATGGCAGAACATCACATATTCTGGACCAGGCTGGACCGTATAGCAGATGTCAACCACTCTCCATTCCTGCTTCCATGCATGCAATGACAGATAAACTTGAAAATGAGCCACAGCCTGGAAATATAAGACTTGGAAGTACTTGGGAGCAGAGACAGACAGGCACTATGAAAGAGACAAGAGTAAGCACATGAGGGGAAAAAAAAGCAACCCACCTTCTACTTTGCAGTCAAAAGCTTCCCCTGCCTCGTCTCCAGAGGGTTTCAAGTGGGACTTGTGCAGGTCTTCATGAGCACTTTCAAGACTATCATAAACCCACTGTATGGAATCTTGCTGGAAGTGAGGGAAGGAAGAACTCTTAGAGCTAGATACCAGGATGCATATTAATTTCATAACCCTGCTTGAGAAAGAAGCTTGACCATCTAGCTTGTTTATTTTTCTAGCTGAACAGTAATAAGTTTTGAAAAAAAACATCAGAATGGACATCCAAAAACAATTTAATGCTTTGACTGTTTCTAGCTGAAATTACCTTCAGAAGATATACTTTATATATTTGTCCTAAAGATGCATTTTCTAAAATGGGATATTGTTCTCAAATGTCTTACTGAAATATCTCAAGTATATCTTTAAATGAGTTATCAATTATACCTTAAAATAAACAAATGCTAATGGGTAATTACTTGCTGTGCCAATTACCTATAATTATGTACACCATTTTAAGGTCCTAACAGTCACTCTGTTTTAATACATTAATGGTATTATGAATCAAACCAATATGAAAATTGGAAGACAATCTATTTCATACTGAATTTCCAAGTCATGTAACATCCTTTTTACTTAGTTCATAATTCATCCTATATTTTAATTGAAACAGCAGTTCTAATCTTATTTAGAGAAGCAAGACAAATGAAATGATTTCCAAACAAACACTTCAAGGGTTACATGGCTTTAAGGTTTATAAATAAGATGATCAATCAAATTGAGCTGAACTGTTGAAGTATAATATAATGTATCGCACCTGTTTTTCCTTGAATCTGCTCTACAACTATGTTTACTTAGTGTGTGCTGCTTTAAGTCACTAAAATGAGAGCTAATGGTGGTAGATGTTGTAGAATTCAAGAGTGGATACATGCTTAACATTTACAAGGTTCTAGGCTCAAACTCTAGCAACACACACACAAACATGGTAGCTGACTTGATCATTCTTGTATCTGTGAAGAACCACATCCACAGTAACTTCTTTCAGGTCCTTCTTACCCTGACCCTGCCTATGACTCAATTTGTCCAGTGGTTTAGTGGCAAGCATCACCCAGATAGAAGGCTATGGCTGCCAACACTCGCTCCTGGTGTGTTGGTACTATTCACAAAGAAATTTCCTGCAGGAGACCCCCAGACAAGAACTCAGGATAGCTTGGCACACACATCTGGGAGCTATGAAGAGGGGATCTGGGTACCCTGTCAGGGTCCGGCAGAACATAGGTACATCAGCAGCTTCGGAAGACCCACCCCACATTCAACGTTGGAGAAAGACAATGTGGTCCTAAGTCACCTGGCTTCGGGGTCATCTGTTACATGGCAGTGGGTCCCTGACAGTGCATAGCACTCAGTGAATTCACTGTTTCTCTTAATGATTTCCTGATCAAGATTTTTCCAGGGAGATAATTGGGAAAAGGAAAGGAGTAAAAGTTAAGTGAACCAGTTTGTGCACTTAGTAAAATTCTAAGAAAGGAGGAAGGTTTCTTGATTATCTCTGAGGAGCCTGGGGGTGGAGGTCACATTCAATTGTACAGTCCGACAAGTGTTTCCAGAACTGCCGTCATTCAGAATAACCTATGAGACGATGCATCATTTCTCAGCTTCTATTCCACTTCTGACCTTAATAGTGAGCAAAATAAGTCAGCTCTTTCCTTGTGGAGTCGGTGCCTTACAGAACATCAGTCCTAGCTTCAGGACAAGCAGTCACTCGTTCTCCCGGTGTGGGCCCTGTCATAGTCTCCAAAGCAAGAGAACTTAATGACACAGAGTAAGAAAAACACATGACCTACCCCCAGCAAAGGGGTGTCTCTGCCTCTAGTGGACAACCTGAGACTCTAGCCGGCCACTATTTACTTTCACAGTGCTGTGTTTAAATTGGAAAGCAAAAGCTGTTCACATATTAGCCTATGCCATCTCCTAATTATTTCATGGAAGTTTTTTGTTAAATTGAATCTTCTGTGTACCTTCATTGGCCGCCTGAACTTCCGGCAGGCTGTGACGTGTGCGATGACACTGGCGTGTGTCTCTTTGCTGACATTGATTCCGTTGACTTTGATAATACACTGTCCTGGGTGAAGGCCAGCCGCTGCGGCCACAGTACCTTTAAATACAAATGGGGAAAACTGTCAAAATCAAAAGTCAGCAAAAGGATTCACCTGTTTCAGATATAGCACAATGGGAGCAGTTTTGAACATATCAAAGCTCCCTAAAATGTTCCTGATGCATCTGGTTCAGATAACAATGCTCTCTCAGTCTTTCTGGTTCTTCACCCATGATCTTGAGCACAATTAACAAAATATTCCACTGCCTCCATAGAAGAATTTTGAAGGAATATTGCATAGTGACCTTCATATTGCTAATCAGATGTTTCCCTTTCAAAGGTCTCGTCAATCTAACTTTCTAAATACACAGTAAAAAAGTGAAATACCATAAGCATAAACTTTATTTAAAAATCTATAAGTACTAAAATAATGTTATTTTTGTTTTACAAACACCAGCAATTTAATGCACATATAAAAATAAATTCTTTAAAAATCGTACATTTTTTCTGTGTGTACACTGGTGTGCATGTTCACATGACTATACAAAAATGTATGGCTATACATGCATCAGCGTATGTGCTCATGTGTACATGTACACATATGTGTGTGTCAACAACAAACACTTCCTAGATTACCATTCTCTTTTTTTTTTTTTTTGAGTCAGACTTCCCCATCCACCCTAGAGCTAAATTATTAGCTAGGCTGGCTGTCTAGCAAGTCAGCCACTTTATGTGCATAGGTATAGAATCTGTACCCATGTAAACGCAACTATGTATATATGTAAGTAGCATGTCCTAACTGGTGGTATAAAATTTTCCAACCATTGATATTAGTGTCAGAGCAAATTAACACCAATAAATACTATTAATGAATTTTATATACACACATATGTATTATACTAGTGTCCATAAAACTTACCATATAGTAGAAAAGATCTCTATTGCAAGCGATTCACCCATAAGGGAATCATAAACACGCTTTTCAAATTTTTAGACTTAGGAAAACACCTTTTGTCTCTATTTGATCCCTCCTAAGGTCCAGTCATAGAAATGGTTTTCCTGCTCTGAATTGAGTCTTGGGCAAGGAGGGACATTTCTAAGTCAGAAAATCACCTGGCTACCTAAACATACCAGCAGTTCTGTCTGTGTGTAAGCTTAAAGTTAGCAGGGTGGTGGTGGGTGTCAGCTAAGAATTGGGGCAGGGGGAGCAGATGAGACAGACAGAGGCAAGTCACAGAGCGACCCACTTCTCCCAGAAATCCACTGCCTGGTGTGAAGACACTGAAGTCTAGACTTTACATTTAGAGGATGCTGAGGAACATGTGTTGGAGTCTGAGTCTGTCAGTGAGGTGATGAAGAAGTGCATCATGGAAGTCAAGAGTGAGAAGGGAAGAGAGCCAGCAGAGCACAAACTCATACGAAGATGGCTGAGTGCAGGTCATGGCCTAGGAGGGCAAAGACGGTGAGTAAGTCTGAAACACAGCCTCTGTAACTCCGGAAAACCGCTGACTTGATTTGTGGTGTGTTGTTTCCTTTTGGTTTTTGTTTTCCTTAGCTATTCTGAAGAAAGAGCTAAGAGGGTGCTTAGATTGATCCAAGGCTGAACTCTAGTGGCCTGAAGGCAGCAATACTGCCCAGAAGTATTGCAGTGACCTTTTCTTGTAGCAGAACTTGGGGTGGGAGGATATGAAAGGAAAGACACAGAGTCCACCCCCACCCCACCTTTTCTAGTTAAGAAACAAAGTGCATGAACACAGTGGCCACCGGTTCAAAAGACCTTGATGGTGGTCACCGCTATACACATTCAGCTTTGCAGGGACTGTCCCCAAGCATGGGACAAACGTTACAGGTTAATGAAACAGAAGCGCTATGCGACAGCTGGGCATACTTCTGCCCTGCAGTATCGAAGGGCTATTTGCTTTAAATGTCCATCCAATCACTGTGGAAAACTAAGTAAGAAGGTACTTTTTTGAAAGAAGATTTATTTTTTTAAAACACACATTAATTTTGTAATATAAAATTAATTGGTTCTGATGGCAACACCCTTTCACACTGTTTCTCGTCATGTTTGAATGATCCCCATTATGATAGTTTACTTTTTCCAGCCCTGCAAACAGCCAGCTCCCCCCTTACTCCACAAGCGCCAGACGTCTCAGCTCACAGCCGCTCTTCTGGCTCCAGCAGCCAAGCTACTTATTATGTGCAGCACTGGGAAATCTCTACTCCCTTTACTGGTGTCAAGATGAAATAAAAATACATATCATGTGAGCTTTGGGCTTTTTATTTGCCTTCCAAAGAAGTAAAGTAAAATACAAACAGGCTTTGAGTCACTACAATTATTTGATTTAGAATGAATCTCATGGTGAGGTTCATTGCAGACTCAAAGGAAAGAAATTGAAGAAACTATGGCGCAACTGGGTGGCAAGCCCACGGGCCTCCCTACAAAGCCTGAAAACTCACATTTTTAAATTATTGACCAAAATGATAGCATTTATTTGCTGCTAAGGAAGATATAAATAGATAACCTTAAAAATCATCATGAGTTTAAACTGAAGTACACAAAAAATATTTTTGTAACAGTAATAAATATAGTTAAGAATTTGGGGATCCTATGGAATTGTTTGTTTATTCGAGTGTGTGTGTGTGTACATAGCATGTGTATGTAGAGGCCAAAGGCATCTTTCCTTGATCACCTCAGTTTTTGAGCCAGGTCTCTCTTGAACCTGAGATCTGCCATTGGACTATACTAAACAGCCAGCAAGCCAGGGGATTCTCCAGTCTCTCCCTCCCCAGGGCTGGGATTATAGGCAAGTGCTGGAACACAAAAGCCTTTTTTTTTTTTTTTGCATTTTGTTTTTAGTGTGGGTGTTAGAGACCTGAACTCACAACCTCATGTGTATGGGGCATGTATTATGTCACCTACTAAGCCCTCTTCCTGAGCAAAGCCTCACTCTGTCCCAAGCCTGCCTCACTTTTGCAGCATTGGCTTTCCTGAGTGTGGGAAACTCAGATGTGAGCCACCACACCCAGTCTAAGATTTGAGGTTTTACACTTTAGCATATTATTTCCAGAACGCACATTCACTGAGTTACCAGACTGAAAGGAGACAATTCCTGACACCATGGTGATGCACATTTCAGTTGGACTTGGAACAGCCAAAGCACTTGATAGCACAGTTTCCCACATCAGGGGCCCGGGGGATGTCTCACCTCTTCCCACCGCGTGCACCACGGAAGGGCCAAAGCCTCTGATCTGGAAACCCAGCCCGTCTGCAGAATCTGGGATTTTAACTGTCCTAAATGTAACCAGAAAATAAGGTCAGACAACTGTAAACGCCACAATAGGTTCTAACAACAGCCATTTGTACCTGGGCTCTGTCTAGCAATGCATACATCCAGAGTTCTCAGTGAGCAGGAGGAGGGGCGGGAAAAGGAACTGGGACTAGTAGGTAAAATGAGAAAAAATTGTTTAAGAAAGAAAGAAAGAAAGAAAGAAAGAAAGAAAGAAAGAAAGAAAGAAAGAAAGAAAGAAGGAAGGAAGGAAGGAAGGAAGGAAGGAAGGAAGGAAGGAAAGAAAAAAAAAAAGAAAAAAAAAAAAAAAAAGAAAGAAAGGAAGGAAGGAAGGAAGGAAGGAAGGAAGGAAGGAAGGAAGGAAGGAAGGAAGGAAGGAATAGAATTTAACCTTGGGAGAGTCTGACCCTAGAACCTGCCCCTAGAAGAGAGCACTAGTAGTGGCCACTCCGGCTGAGCCAGCTCAGGGCTCTCACAGGATGTAAATGCAATGGTGGGGGTAGGCTCCAGATGAGCCAGCTCAAGGCCCCCCAAACAGGATGTAAAGAACAATAGGTGGTAGTGGGGTGCTCCAGCTACATCAGCTCCAACTGCAGGGACTTCCTCACCAGGGAGCACCAGTGGTGCTTTAACCTCTCCCATACTGGACTTTTTAACTCCTTGGGCATTAAATCTCTTCTGGATATTCCTGAATCTTATTCATCTACTTGTATAAGATTTGGTGATGGAGACTTCTGAGGAAGCGCCCCCCCCCGAAATGTCTACGCTGGGGGAGGTACAGAGAGGAAAACAGAAGAGGAATCCAAGTCTCTATATTGCTCAGGCTGATCCTTGCTCGACAGTATTCATGCTTCCCCTCAGGTTCTAACTGAACCACCCACTGTTCATCTATTATTGTTTCCCAGCTAGAGTCTCCTATTTCAGGGGCCTGAGAAGGGAGACCGCTACTGGGGTCAAGCCCAAGGGAACTGGAAAACTGGAGAATGCCACTGAGCGAGGATCCCTTGGAGAGGGCACTGTCCTTTCCCCGACATAAGGTGTACACAGCATGGAGGCACAAAGTCTTATACAGATGCATCCATGTATCCACAGCAGTGGTGGCGCACGCCTTTAATCCCAGCACTTGGTAGGCAGAGGCAGGCAGATCTCTGTGAGTTCGAAGCCAGCCTGGTCTACAAGAGCGAGTTCCAGGACAGGTTCCAAAGCTACAGAGAAAAAAAAAAAAGGAAAAAATAAAAAGGAAAACAACAGATAATGGAAACAGCTAAACTAGCTAGACTAGCCCTGAGTCCTTATTCTGTACTTGGTAACTGGGTAGACTTGAGTTGGACAATCTCCTTAAATTCTGTTACCAAAAGTGCCACAGAAACTGTTGGAGTTATGACTGTCAGAAACTGATATTGTAGTATGTAGGTGGGGATTAAAGCGGCGAGCGCTTCTATCCTGCCTAGTTTCTGTGGCTGGAATACAAACAAGACCAAAAGCAAGTCAGAGGGGGCATTTATTTCATCTTACAGGTCCCTGTCAGTCACCAAGGGAAGCCATGGCAAAGGCTGAGGCAGGAACCGAAGCAGAGAACACAGAGCAATTCCATGATAGGCTTCCTGCCTGCCTCTACTCTGCTGGCTTCCTTGTGCAAGCCAGACCCTCCTGCCCAGGGCTGGCAGAACTCACGGAGGGCTGGGCCATCCCTCATCGATTAGAAGTCAAGTTTTACATGTCATCACCTCCCAATAATCCAGGATACTAGATTAATCATATGTGAAGTTGACTTCTGCTCTTCAAGATTATTGTACCTTTTAAACAAAATCTGTACACAACACCATGAAATTCATTTTAGGAAAAAAAAGATCCGGAATTCCTCTAACTAAACATGATTAAACTCTAATAAAAGCATGATCTTTGGAGATCATGTTTTTCCAATGGGAAAACTACATTGCCTATTATAATAATTAATAAAATTATACAAGAGGAATGTTCTATTTCTGGTAGAAAATAAGTATGTGAAATTAGCTACTGCAAAGCCTTTCAGAGAAATTCCCTGATGTTATCAAGTGTAAAACACAGCTGGAGTCAAAAGAAAATCCTGTTGTATTTACTGCTCCTATTTTTGTCTTTTCCCTTCAAAACAGGATACAACTTAAATTACAAAATACCAATTTAAGAAACTATGAGTAACCCAACCAAAGCTTCCATACAGCTCTTCCTGAGGCCTCAAACTCTCTGGGCCTGAATCAATGATGCCTCTCTCAGATTGCCTCCGAGGCCTGAGGCAGGGGAAAGCCACTGCTGTTTAAGACAAAATGAATGGATTGGAGAGCTTGAAAATAGCCCTACCTCACGCCACCTCCCATTCCTCTTTATATAAGTGAGAACTAATTACTCGCTCTGGTAAGCATTGCAGGTGATCTGCCTGTACCGCAGTAAAGGTAGCTGGAACTACTTTACTCTCTGACAAGTTACCTGTCCCGTTAGAGCAGAAAATTCATGCAGGAGAAAAACCTGTCACTGCTGTCCTCCAGCTAGTTTATGGAGGAAAATGTCAAGGGAATCAGAAGAAACCGCAAACGGTTGGGAATGCCTTGGTTATGGTTGAATGAGAAGAGTCCTCAACAGACTCCTGTCCTGGGAACTTGACAGATGATGGGGCTTTGAGGAAGAAGAGAGTGGATCTGAGAGATCTGGCCAAACTGATGGTGGGTACCCTGATGGACTCATACTATTCTGAATTACTGGAGGTGAAGGAAGTAGAAGATGGGGCCTAAAAGGAAGACCAGGACCATAGAGATGTGTTGATGGGTGCTGTATCGTCTCCTGACTATTTCCTGCCTTTCCATCTCTCTGTGTCCAGTGTCCCATGAGGTGGAGAAATTTCTTTGCTCCCCGCACACCACCATCGTGTTCTGGCCTAGCACATGGAGCCAAGAATGGTGACCGGAATCCTTGGAAACCATGAGCTGAAACAAAGCCTTCCTACCTTCAGCTGCTCATGTCAGCGATTTGTCACAGAGGGACACGAAAAATGATGAGCTCAGCCTCATCAGGCAGGGACATGTCCGTGAACACATAATAAATAGATCATCATAAGCACTTTGAATATGTCAAAGCTTTCAAATAGCTTCCAGCTCTCTACAGATCAGAAATTTAGAATGAAGGGAAAACCAGCAATCTATGTGGTTGAGATGTTCATTTTCAAACGGAAACATTAAGATGGAAGTACCTTTGTGGTGTCAGCTATAAGCAGATGACTGTAACTGCTATGGCTTGTCAAGGCTAACTGCAGCATCTCTGGGCACAGGCCTGCTCCTCGCAGTCGGGGCTGAGTATCTACCAGCTTTTAACAAGTAGACTGGATTGGGATGCCAGGACACAGACCTCAGTGGGCAAAGCATCTCCTCAACTATGGAGTCATGAGAATTTTACTTTATAAGACATTCTCCTCAATGGAAACCAGTGTAGCTGTCTAAAGAACATATACATGCCAATTAATAGCATGACTTCCAAGATTTCCCACATCAAATGCCCCTCTCGCTTATTTATGCTTTGTCAAATATAGCAATGTGCTGTGTTCCATACTTTCTTCCCGTTCTTATAGTACATAACTTTGTGTGGTTGTTGTGGCTATATTGTCTCTAAAATAGAAAAGATCGTTTCTCTCTTTAGTATATGTGAGTAGTCTATAGGACTCAATATAGGGAGACTATTAGGGCAAAATTTAACATTTCAAATACATTGAAAGAAAACATGAGCATGCAATCTTTTTAAACTGTGTTCACGTAGTTATTCTCTGTGTATGTGTATGTGTGCACATAGGCATGTGTGCCTGCGTGTGTCTGGAGGTCAAAGTATGACTTTCAAGAGTCAGTTCTTTCCATCTACCATGTGGCTTCTGAGGATCGAGCTTAGGCCACCAGGTTTGGCAGCAAGTGCCTTTACATGCTAAGCCACCTGATCTTTGCATGTATGCTGCCTTTTAAAGCTATTTTTGAATACAATACAAAATATTCTCTTGATGCAATGCTGACACCAGTAGTAAGCATTAAACACTTCACCTAGCCTAGACAAACCAGGACTCAGTGTCTTAACAGCTCTACGGCAGAGGAACCTTGTGCCATCGCAGCAAGGAGGACATGGAAATAGGTAACAGGGTAAAGCTGCAAGGCAGGCTTGAACCTCAGGTTCGAGATACTGCACAGCAGCACTTGTGGAAGGGCTGGAAGACACAGGACCAAAACTCTGATGGCTCAGGATTTGCTCCCATCTGTTTATTTCCAATGTCATTGGCTCTGTGCTCTTCCAATTGTTGAGATGTCTATGTAAGCAATAAGTTAGTGTAGGGGTAAACCAAGTGGTCATAGGGCATATCCTATATTCACTAATAATTGTTCTGAATACCCCTGTATTCCTTCCTAAGATGTTTTATTCCTTTTAAACACCCTAAGTGTGTCAGGTGATAGGCTGCTAAGACAGCCTTACCCTAGGCAGGGCTAGATAAAGAGGGAAAAGTCAACTGTAATTTTATGTAGAAAGGAGACACTGCTGTGGTTCTTCGCTGCCCTCTAGTCCAGGGTTTTCTGTGTAAACTGTATTAACATGTTACACTTGTTCTTCAGGCCACTGGGTACATTACATTATGAGCTAAACCATCCATGTCCTTTAATGACTTAGTGTTGTCACAAAGAGACAGACTGGGGAGACTCCAGCCCATTACACTGAACTGAAGACTCATGAAAAGTGTATACATGATATGCCTAGTTATTTCTGAATGTATGTGTACTGGGTAATATTTTACATATTAAAAAATATTTTAGCCTGGCAGTGGTGACACATGCCTTCAATCCCAGCCCTTGGGAGGCAGAGATAAGTGGATTTCTATGAGTTCAAGGCCAACCTGATCTACAGAACAACTTCCAGATCAGGTTCCAAAGCTACAGAGAAAATCTGTCTCAAAAATACAAAATCAAATAAATAAATAGTATTAAAATCAATAAGACTTCATCTTAAAATTAATGAAGTTGCTGGTTACTACTGATACAATTTTTTTGTTTTGATTTTTGTTTTTTTTTTTGTTTTTTTCAGACAAGGTTTCTCTGTAGCTTTGGAGACTGTCCTAGAAATAGCTCTTGTAGATCCACAGAGATCCACCTACCTCTGCCTCCTGAGAGCTGGGATTAAAGGCATGGGCCACCACCACCCAGCTCTACTGATGACAACTTTTAATTAGCAATTCTGACATAGCTCATTCACATGTTCTTTTAAACACTCTACATACATGTTATCTCACCCAGCTAACGCAACAGTTCATGACTAATCTGAGATCATGAACAGAAACAAATTCTAGAAGAAAAGTCAATGAACTACACATACATCAAACGTTTTAACTAAAGAAGTTATGGGTACAGCACAGTACTAGTCTATATGTGTACAACTGTAACATGCATCAGTACTTGGAATACACAGCAATTGATTTCAAAACAGTAGCGGATATTTATGTGTGGTAAGATATGAAGAAAATGTTTTCCTCTAGAGATATCTATACTTTGAATTGTTCACGATAAATATATTGTGATGTTTCAGATATGAGGTTGTTTCCAAAAGACTCATGCGTTGAGGGCGGTCTTAAGATGGCAGCATTCTCTAGAGATGACTGGAATATGAGGGCACTGGTTTCATCTCTTGGCTGACCCATGGGTGAGTTCACAGATGCTGAGCTATTAGAAGTGTGCCCCGTGGGAGGAAGTGGGTCCCTGGAAGGGTGCCTTGGCAGGGTCTATCTTGTCAAGGGGCCATTCCTACGCAGTGTCTCTGCTTTCAGAGCCTCACCGAGTGAACAGTTTCACAACACCATGCCATCTTGTCATGACGGGCTGAAACTCCAGCCACCGTGAGTCAGAATAATCCTCTACCCTTTAAGTTACCTCAGCTATTCCGTCATAGAAATGAAAGATGGACACAGACATTGGTACTTTTCTACTTACATAGATAGATGACAAAGAGATCAACAGAGCTTTGGGTCAGTTTTGTTTTAAAAGAAAGGGTGTCTTACTAAGGTTGGTGTACCTTCTAGATTTGACTTTATGAATATGAGCAGTATATTATAGACTGTGTCTAATCACAACATTTACTACAACCAAGCATGTAGCTCCTTATTCCTGACCTTCAGGTGTTCTATTAGATTAATTTTTACTCAGTCAAACTCAACATAACCCAAAACAACCACACTTGGACAGGAAAAGAAAAACATCATTGCTCCCAACACCAGGCAATTCAGGAGTGAGCACCTATTACAATAGACGACGCAGCTTCCTCTAGCCTCTAAAGACCTGCATTCATTTTGCTGCATTCCTGAATGTTCTACGATGGGGGATCCGGATGATAAATCACTACCTGGTCAGTATCGTTCCTATTTTATTCATCCATGTATCACTGTATCACTTACTCCCTTGGCTTTGTGCTCACGAGGACTCGCAGAGGCTTTTTGCTGTTTAAGCATGATTTCAGAAAGCAATCGACTTCAGAGAAAGGTCTCAGGAAAACCAGGTCACCATTAATAGCAAAGATCTTCTTCCCAACTTCCATGCCGGCCATCTAAGGGAGAAGAATTAGGATGATAATTTAATAAATATTTTAGGTTTTCACAAACTACACCAAGGGGAAGGCTAGCATGTACTGATTTAGACATGCGAACACACATATACAATAACATTTATTCAACTTTATATAACAGAACTATGAATGAAGTAACAGTTATAATAATCTGTGGCATCATTTTGAATGGGATCAAGCAGCTTTGCTGAAATCAGTCTTCCCCTAGCCCTATATATACTCTACCCATCTGCGACTCATTCTTGGTGTTGAAGTAAGACACTTTATTAAAAAAAGAAAAATATTGTTCTTTAACATACAAACTCCAGGTTAATTTACTTTTACATATGTTTTATACATAAGTATATGTATTTAAATATAAATATTGTACATAAATATATATTTATTTACTTTATTCAGAAATTTATGGAACTCAGAAATTTTCAGCCCGTGAATATATGATTATATTGACCACAACCACTAGTCTCTCCAGCCTACATCAGCATGACTGTGCCTACTACAGGGGAATGAAAGGAGTGGCCTGGAATCCAACGGCAGAGATAACCCTAATGCAATATGCCGAAAAAGGACAAGGATGACATCATCCCTGCAGTTGGCCCAGATGTTCTTAACCAGCAGGACTGCACATAAATTCCCTGCTGTTTTGGACTGCAGCTACGACAGAGTAAGATGAAGCTGTGCACTAAGAGCAGCGTCTAAAAAGCCTGGGAAAAGTACCATCTCCTATAGAACTGCTAACCATGGTCACTTGGTGTTCCAGCACACTAACAGAGTACAAATGGACCAAGGTAATATACTTTCACTTGGAGTACTGGATAGAAAGCTTTATCTTGCACATTTTTGTTTAATGGTGAAATAAAAGGCCTTTAGTATTAGCATATACAGAGTACCACTGACTTCAGTAAAGAGATTTAAAATTATATATGGTCTACTTCTGCAGTTCTCACATTTTTATTAAAGACCCAAATCCTGAGGTGCTTGCTTAGGGGTTATTTATCTTACAAGCTAGGCAGCAGGGTAGAGTCTTGAATCCAGAATCCCTGTGGTACAGCAATGGAAAGTAAGCTCCATGAGGACAGAGATGAAAGGAGAAAGTGATGCAGGGGATAGGAGGGAGGAAGGGAGGAGAAAGTTCATATGTGTGTACATGTGTGTGCTTGCATGAGGCAGTCAGAGGGCAAACAAGGTTGTTGATCCTTAAGTGGTATTCACCTTGTCACCTTGTTTCTTGAGACAGGTCTCTCATCGGCCTGGTATTCCCCACGCAGCCTAGGGCAGCTGAACTGTGACACCTGCCTCCACCTCCCAAACATAGGATTACAAGTGCATACAGTACACAATTATTTTATTTTAATATGAGTTTTGGTTCTCAAACTCAGGTCCTTATCTTGTAAAGAAAAACTGTCATTCCAGCTCAGAACAGGGAATTTGGTCTGCTTTCTATATGTCTATGCTCCCAGAATCTAGAATGACACCTAATATATAACCATTATTAAGTGACTATTTCTCATTGAAGATGTCAAGGATAAGAATATGCCACTGTTTAAAAAAACCTAGTGGTGTGAGATAGCACCCGTTAGCATTACTCCAATGAGAGAGTCAAAGTGTTTGCTTTACTGATGGAAATTAGATTCACAGAAAAGACGGAGGAAGAGGAAGATAGCAGACACCACCCTTGGTTGATCAGAATGACTATTGGATATACATAGCAAAGCTCTCCCACCCTATGTAGCCCCCACAGAGTTCCAGGGTGGATTTCACGATTGGGAAAATCCTGAGGTCACAGAGCATGCCACTTGGGGACTCAGCAATTGGGAGCTGTAGATCTCTGGAACGTTACCACCTCCCCACGCCCTCATCACTGAGACACAGTCTCAGCTGCTACAGTCCACCACTATTTGACAGAACACAAGCACATGAACATTCAGAGACACAACCTTCAATAAACACACAAAGTTTGATTTCAGTTTGACACTGTACTGCATGAAGGCAACCTGCTAACAAGCATGCTAATTTACATTACCTCAGCATTAGACCCCTTTTCCACTGACTTTATGATTGGAACTTTATTTTTGTCTTCCAGTCCAAAGCCATAGCTGCCTTCATTGGATTTAATCTGAAATTTAAGACACTAACATTATTGATAAAGAACAAGGAGACCTTTTACAATGAACTAGAGTGGAAGCCTCAGTGTGCTCGCCTGCTAACGGCCACACCCGAAGGCGACTCAAGGCACAGCGGCTTACCAACAGTGACTTCGCGATGACGTTCTCCACAACTTTCAAGTCATGTTTCATCAGCCTGTGTTTCATATTTGATCCTTCCATTTCCTCGTCGGCAAAGAAGCGGAAAAGTAGAGGCTCATCTTTGAATTCGCTTTTCTCAAGGACTGTAAGAAATGGAGAGAGTCAGATAATCTCAGTGAAGTGGGGTCTCGAGCTGGCTTTCCACCCAGCACACCCTCGGGGAATGCCTGCCAGTGATGCACTCGGCTTTAGACTCCCAGGGCACAGTACTGCACAGATACCCCGCAGGTTCCTTTGGTAGCCTACCCTTCCCTGTACATTACTGTTACCTACAGGACTTAGCATTTTAAAGTAAGTGCATTATTCCACTCTTGCATTTCTTAGTCTTCCATTTTCTAAACAGAAAATCTAAATTTTAGAAAGAAATTACAATAACTCCTAAACCCTATGCAATCTAAACCTAAAAACTTATGCGCATTTTCCACTTTCAGAAAACATCGTAAACAAGTTTTTCATGTCGTGCACCTTCACGGGAAACTTCAAGCGGGCTGCATAGTATCTCTGTATGTGTGAGCAATTCCCACTGAGGGGTCACAGTTGGTCCAAAACTTCAAACTAGAAATATGGCTTCTGGGTAAAATGTGATTTTAGTTTCCATAACTTGCTAGCTCTTCTCTGTTTCAAAACAAAATTCTCAAATAACCTTATTTTAAGGTCATTTTTTTCTCTTTATATAAATGTTAATAGTTCCCCACAGTTTCTAGGAATGTTGATCTATGTTTTGCTAGCCTTGTTTATACTACAGATAGATACAGATAATAAGAATGTATATTTAATAAGATCTTGACAGCCACTAGAAATGCTTTAAAAGAGAAACCTGTGTTCCTCATTCTTTGTCATAAGTACCTTGTAGTGTACTTGTTGGGACAAGGTGACTCACAGTAACAGGAAGGCTGTGGTCCCAGGGCACTTAGCTTTGTGATGAATCAGTCCAGGTCTGGGGCCAATTCTGAGTGTGAAAATTAGAAAGTTACCTAAACTCTCTGCATTTTAGTTTTCTCATCTGCAGAATGAGGTGGAAGAATCTTTGTAGCACCCTCACTAAAACTGAAGGACCGCATGTAATCAGGTTGGCACATGCAAACAATCCAAAGAGGCACCTATTCTATTGCTTTGTTTTTACAGAGTTCCAGAAAACAATGTGGGTGTATGGATGATGTCTGAATGGAAGAGCACCTGGTACCATGGTAACAAATGAAGCCATCTCCCACATCATAAAAATTAACACAGCCACAGTGAACAACAGAAAGGAAAAACGCTTTAGACTGAGTTAAGTTTTGCCTCCATGATCTAATTGCTTTCCCGAAGATCACACGCTATTTCCACCAACAGCCTGTCCAAGAAATCCAGGCAGGAGGCTTTGCCACCTTAACTCTTGCTATCACTTAGTATTTCACAAAAAAAAAAAAAAAATGCTTACATCAAATTATTGCCTGCTATTGCTCTTGATTAAAGAGAAAAATAATTTAGGGGTATCAGTCTGATTTGATAGTTTTAATTTCTTAAACTATTTTAATTTCTTCCATCAATAGTTTGCTCTCCAGGGACCGATATTTCTCTATCTTAGCATTCACGGTGATCTAGCCAAAAGGTCATGGGACAGAATTCTCCAAGAAGCACATGATGAGAAAGGATGCTCCCAAAATGACTGTAACTGGTACTCAATACTGTTTTCATACAAGTGTTGATAACCTTCTGAACATAGTTGATAAATGGATGTGAATGCTATAATCAAACATAAACTGAGAAGCACATTGCATTAGTAATCAAACACAGATTGTTTGGGTGCCTGGATTATGTAAGATAGCACAGAGGGAAAAACTCTCATTACTTTGATAGATGGAGAAATTAAAATAAAACACTAATGCGTAGTGATCTGTTTGAAATTATCAAGCAAGAAAGAGAATTTTTAGTAGACAAAAAAAGATCTCACTTATTGCTAGAAATATAGTTCTGTAAGATGATTTTGAGTATTTTTTTTCTATGAACAAAAACATTAGCTATACATTTTCTTATCTAATCATTCCAATATATTCAGACAAGATAATTTATTTATTATAAAATGAATTCAAAGAGATATAAGATTTTTAAAAAGGAAATAAAACTTTGACATCTTGGCATAGCTCTTCCAGAGTCAACACAATCAAGAAAAACTGGTAGATAACAGTCATTTGCCATAGAAATGCCGCCATTAACAAATTCAATTGCAAATGTGGTACCTCATCAGGGACCAATGACAAGACCCAGACATGTTGCCTTGACCTTAGTGGAGCACTGAGATACTTCCAATGTTCCAAGAAGACCCAAAACAATAAAACCCATCTGTGAATTTGCAGGGTACAAGTCCCTACCATGGTGCATAAATCCATTGTCACAGAGTCCGACAGCAAATATCATTGCCTCTTCCCTGGTATGGCAATCACCCTGGTAATGAAAAAATAAATCACCGGACATGTTAATAGGGAACAGGAGGTTTTAAGGACCTGATTTACAGTTTAAGGAACAATCCCACACATTACATAATTGTCCCTAGTCCTTTGCTTTGCGCTTGGGTACTCTATCAAACTGGCTCTCATTTCTATTTTATTTCTGTTATCAACACTCTACTCTGGTGTTTCTTTATCCCTTGTCTAGATTGATATATTTTTTCTGGAGCCATTCTAACATAAGCTGCTGCAGAATTCAGCTGTTCTACACAGGCATTTCATGTTCTAAAGGTTTACAGAGAGATTTTTTAATAATAAAAACTTTAATAATCAAAGCATAAACATTTTGTTGGGCTTTCAAGATCTCTCAGTCTTAGTTTTATTCATCTACAGCTTCACTTTCCAAAGTTTTGAACCTACCCCCTTTCCTTAGTTAGACAGGTTTCCTACAATTGCCTGAACTCATTCCACCTCACCTTCACTGGTGTAATGCTGATACACACAACGTCTTTTACCTGTCTACAGAACACCAAGAGAAACTTGTACCTCTGGCTGCAACAACTGTATCCCTGCTATCCACCAAAGCAAACTGAATATGTACCTGCAAACAGGCATTGTATCTTCAACAATTCATGTATTTAAAAGTTTTATGCATTCGTTTGAAAATTCATATTTATTCATTTCTAAATATCATACCAAGTCCAAGACATCACATGTTAATACTCTCAAAGGAACAATATTTTACTGCCTTCCAACAATTTGAATCTTATGAAGGATTTCGGCATTTATATACTTAAATATCCTTACACAATTTAGTTAAGAGTTTTAATTGGCCTGAACCTCTCAGGGAACTAGATGCATAGAAAAAAAAAAGATTCTGAGCCTGGCTGGAGGACCGATAAGGGCTTCTATGGAAGATGATGCTGGGAATTTTACAGATGATCTAAGATGAGCTCAACTGACCGACACCTTCTTGATGGCAAGAATTATCCTGAACTTGTCCTGATGTTTTATTTCAGTAGCTAAAGTGTTAAGCTTATGCTGAAAGCTTTAGCTGTTTTGATTATTTAAATGTTATATTCCCAAACTAATAAATCATCAAAAAGTGTGTAAATGTAATCTGACATACTGTAGTGAACCTATACCTTTAAAACTCCTTTTGGGTCTACTCATACCTGGAAGGCATTGGAGAAAGGTGCAAAACACTTGTTTGGGTGGGATGAAACAAGGAGTTGTTTAATTAAAAATGCAAATGGTGCCTGCACATGACCCATAAGCAAATCATATGATGCTTTAGAGACATTTGATCATAAGCCACTATAATAAAAATATCAATCTGGAAGCTGAGAATGTATTCAGAAGAGAACAAAAGTCATTGCATTTTTTAATACAGTATCAGTCATTGCAGGCATCTACAGCATCCAATGATGCCTCAAAACAGCATAAGGACTGTGGTACTACAGCCAGCTCTAATGATCCAATACAGCTGTCCAAGTCCAGTGAGGACAGACAAGATGTGCAGAATAAGTCTATCCGAGTCTTGGTAGAAATGGAGCCTTACTTTGTCTCTCTTTCCCCCTAGAGTAAGCACTGTAGCTTATGCCCTTATCATGCCCTTGCTACGTCTTCCTCTCCCAAGGCAGCCTGTGATGCTCTACTTTGGAGCACAGCAATGAGAGCTCAGAATGTCTGCCTTAAATGTATACATTTCACCGTATCAGACTTATGAAGCTGCAGTGACCGATGTAAGATGACATGATGTCCATCCTAGAACAAGGTAAGCAGTTGAGACCACTCCAGTCTAGAAACGGACTGGCATGCCCAGCTCGCCTCACTCAGTTTCAACAGAGCTGGCATCAGATACTGATTGCTTGGGCTAACGTTCGGGGAGATTTCAACAGACACCACAGTGTAGTGATATTTCATTTGTATTTGAATAAATAAAGCCTGACTGAAGATCAGAGAGTAAGACAGCTGCACTGATCAGCTTTACAGTCCAGGCAGTGGTGACACACACCTTTAATCCCAGTAGCCACACTAGTTTGCCATAGAAACAAGGGGGTAATGGCACATGCCTTTAATCTCAGGACTAGAGAGGAATATAAAATGGAAGGAGACAGCTCTCACACACACTCTCATTCTGAGATTCCTGGAGACAGGATTGCCATTTCGGACAGAGGTAAAGGTAAGAGCCAGTAGCTGGGTGTTTTGCTTTTCTGACCTTCAGATTGAACCCCAATTTCTGTCTCTAGATTTCCTTTTATTAATTTTGCCAGATGACAGTGACAAAAGTTACTTTATTTCAGCTTGCTTAGAACTTTCTGAAAGATAACCTATTTTTCTTTAATATTTACCCTTAGAAAATACAAATGTTTCTCCCTGTAAAGTTGGTGGCTGACTTTCTGGGTTAGAATGTAAATGCTGATTTGGCATTAGGTTTTGCTTCAGATGCATTTTCCTTGGTCTTCTCCCATACACCGGGTTGTATGAGTTTGTATTCATTCTAAAACAGTAGAATTCTAGGTGGATTCTCTTCCCGAACAGAAGACACGCCCAGCTGCACATATGACCAGTGCTTTGAACGTGTTAGAAAGAAATTATCACACTGGAGAGCCTGGACATGTGAGTCAGGGTATTATCAAATTCATTATTTGATTACTCTAAGACATTAACTTCTCATGTAAAAGTTTATGCTCAGTGAAATACAAGAACAGGTGGCCTTGAAAAGTTTAGAAATTAACACTAAAACAATAAAAATCATATATATATATATAACTGAGTTTAAATACTTAAAAATGTTGGCATTTTAAGATTAAATATCTAGTTTTATTACCTATTTATACAAGGAAGTAAGGATATTTTTATATGAACAAAAGAATAAGGCTGCTTATGTAACTGACTCAAATATGCGCAATGGTTACACTCAACCAAACCCCCTGCCCCAGGCAGCACGTGCGGTTCAAGGGAGCATCAGCATTTCTTAGTGCCTTGCCTTTGGTAAGCAGAATATAGCCAAGCATTTGTTAGTTGACCTATAATGTAAAAAACTAAGTACGTTTGTATTTGAAAAACTTCTGTGACAGGCATGTTAATCTGTTCTACTTATAAGCAAATCACAATACTTCTCAGCACCAACTGTCAGAGTCAAGATCTTGCGAAGCTGGGCAATAGTAACAGCACCACACTCTGCTCTTTGTAGCCACGAAAGCTTCTATTATCCAAGCCCAGCTGGGATCTAACAGCAAAGACGACATGGGGAAGTAGAATCATTTGAGAGGACTACTGCACAGATACTTTAAAACAAATTAGTAGAAAAGGATGCAAAACCACTTAGTGTCTGAACATAGTTATTATTCATCGATACTCAAATTATGCACGGAGGATTTTGTTTGTGTTTTGATGAAACTCAGCTCATGTGTTAAAAATAGGAACATCTTAATTTTGAAAAGCAAGCCAGCACAAAGGCTATTCAAGAACCCAGGAATCAGATTCAAATCTTAACTCAGCTTTATACTTGCTGTAGGAATGTAGGCAGGGGACATCACAGTGTGTCACCTGAATGTAATCACTAAATTCTTTAAAAATTCCCAATTGGACTTCTTGAAGTTTGCAGGCAAATGGATGGAAATAGAAAACACTATCCTGAGTGAGGTAAGCCAGACCCAAAAAGAGGAACATGGGATGTTCTCACTCATATTTGGTTTCTAGCCATAAATAAAGGACATTGAGCCTACAATTCGGGTTCTTAGAGAAGCTAAAGAAGAAGGAGAACCCAAAGAAAAACATATAGGCATCCTCCTGAATATTAACCTTCATCAGGCGATGAAAGGAGACAGAGACAGAGACCCACATTGGAGCACCGGACTGAAATCTCAAGGTCCAAATCAGGAGCAGAAGGAGAGCGAACATGAGCAAGGAACTCAGGACTGCGAGGGGTGCACCCACACACTGAGACAATGGAGATGCTCTATCGGGAACTCACCAAGGCCAGCTGACCTGGGTCTGAAAAAGCCTGGGTTAAAACCGGTCTCACTGAACATAGCGGACAATGAGGACTACTAAGACATCAAGAACAGTGGCAATGGGTCTTTGATCCTACTGCATGTAGTGGCTTTGTGGGAGCCTAGGCAGTTTGGATGCTCACCTTACGAGACCTGGATGGAGGAGGGTTTTCCTCGGACTTCCCACGGGACGGAGAGCCCTGATTGCTCTTTGGGTTGAAGAGGGAGGGGGAACGTATTGGGGGAGGGGGAGGGAAAGGGGAGGCGGAGGTGGGGAAGAGACTGAAATATTTAATAAATAAATAAAGAAAGAAAAAAAAAATTCCCAATTCACACACTCAAAGTTAAATGGAAAAGAAGGAAGCATAGCAACACCTGTTTGCCTTCTTACCTGTGCAATTAACCAGTCTATCAGTTTGTTAGCCATGACCACAGATTTGTAGGTCCTTAAATGGTAATCTTTATCTCTACAAAGGAAGAATAAAGCAAGAACATCAAGCAAGGGACTGCGTGAGCGCAGGTAAGCCTTTCCTTTCAGTAACAATATACAGCAGGAAAATCTACCAATGAGCCTACAGTCACCCAATGTATCTACAAATAAGGGAAGTTAACAAGGTGTATATGAGACAAAATCTATCACAATACCAAAACAAGGCATTTCTTCTTTCACTTTTTTTTTTGCAAACAAGATTATTACTGCTCTGATATTTGGTGGTGATTTAGCTAGAAAAATGGCATCTAATTAATGGAGGACTAAGAAAATGAAATTTCTACCCCTAAATCATGGCTACTAAAACTATTCTCAAAGTGTGGAGAGTGGAGTAACAGCTTCTCGTGCCTCTACATTCTCCAAGAAGACAGGGCATATGCACTGTACTTATTCACGGGCTTCCTCCAAAGCCTGCATGCCTGAAAGAGATTCAGGAAGTATCTACTACATAATCTGTCGAAGCAAAGCATGGAGCAATGAAATCACCTCCCCATATCCCAAGGGAATAGAGCAGCAGTACGTTATAAAATCCACACTCACTCTTCCCCAACTTTACATTGTGAAGTCTCCTGCTAAAGTAGACAACATTGATTCAGGAAAGAAGACACCCAGTTCTCCTGAAGTACCTGCTCACAATGTTTGCACGGGGTAAGAGGGCATTCCATTATGCAGACATGGCAACTTCTGGAAACAATCTCTATCTATCTATTTATCTATCCATCTATCTGTCTATCTATTTATCTGTCTATCTGTCTGTTTATCTAGCTAGCTAGCTAGCTATCATCTATCTATCTTCTATCTCTGCATCCCCTTATAACTGATATTAATAATGTGACATAAAAACACTGCATGCAAGTATTTGAATTCTATAGCCATTACCAAATATGTATAAAAAGTATATGAATTTGTTTAAAACTGGACCATACAATTATTTTGAAATTGAGTTAGTTAATAAACTCCAAAATATGTTTAGTAAGTCTAAAATTATTCTTAATTTTCAACTAAAAATATTGTCTTGGGGGAAATTCTATCAAAAGTAAATATCAAATGTACATCCAATGTTCATTCAAACATATATGTATAAATATACATATATATTATAAATATAAATCTTTCTAGCTGTGAATACCTAGAATAAATAGCTTTCCTGAATCATTTCTAGGTCATTTAACTACCATTTCTTAAGTATCAATAAACTATGGATTATTTCTTTTTCAGTCTAAGATTATGATATAAAATAACAGTAAGTTTTAAAAATATAACCAAGAGGAAAGACACTGAACATATAGTGCCAGAAAATTTAGACATATTTGAGATAAATACTTGAAATAATACAAGTTCTAAGATGAAACTTAACCATTCCACTTATGACCCCCATAAGAAGCAGACTCACCTGACCACTGGGGTAAACAAACTGTGAAGACGACAATACAGCCTTACGCCCTGTGTGAGACAAGCGTGGGTCAGAAGTGGCTCACTCGGGAGACACGCTAGTGAACTCTCAGAATAACTAGTCAATTCTTTTCGAGTCTTCTGGAGTCATTACACAGTTTCAGCAAAATTAGAAGTCTATGCAAATATTGAAATGCATGATAAAAATAGGCATTGTCTCTGAAGAACAGGATAGAGCTGTACTGTGAATTTGTCATATATATATATGACATATGTGAAGGTTTACTCAAAATATTTCTTAATATAAATAATAAGATACACTTTAGACAGATATTTAACACAGCAATAAATCTAGAAAGTGTGGTTATTATATTTCAATAAGAAGGTGATCCCAAAGAAAAACATAGCTATCCTCCTGATTATGGGAAGTAGACAAGATTGCCGGGCAAAAAGTGGGATCTTGGGGGTGGGGTGGGAGGGAAGTAAGGGGAGATGGGGAGAGAAAAGTGAGAAGGGGAGGTTGGGGGGAACTTGGGAAACGGGATGTTTGGGATAAAGGAAGGTCGGATAGGGGAGCAGGGAAGCACACATCTTAATTAAGGGAGCCATCTTAGGGTTGGCAAGAGATTTGGTGCTCCCAGGTGCCCAGGGCGATGTCCCCAGTTAGTTCCTGGGGCAGCTGAGGACAGAGAACCTGAAATGACCCTATCCTATAGCCATACTGATGAATATCTTGCATATCACCATAGAACCTTCATCTGGAGATGGATGGAGATAGAGACAGAGACCCACACTGGAGCACCGGACTGAGCTCCCAATGTCCCAAGGAGGAGCAGAAGGAGGGAAAATATGAGCAAAGAAGTCAGGACCACGAGGGGTGCACCCACCCACGGAGACAGTGGGGCTGATCTATTGTGAGCTCACCAAGGCCAGCTGGACTGCGACTGAAAAAGCATGGGATAAAACCGGACTCTCTGAATATGGCGGACAATGAGGGCTGCTGAGAAGCCAAGGACAATGCCACTGGGTTTTGATCCTACTTCATGTTCTGGCTTTGTGGGAGCCTAGCCAGTTTGGATGTCCACCTTCCTAGACCAGGATGGAGCGGGGAGGACTTTGGACTTTCCACAGGGCAGGGAACCCTGACTGCCCCTCAGACTGGAGAGGGAGGGGGAGAGGAGTGGGGTTAGGGGGAGAGGAGAGGGAGGAGGGGGGAAAAGGGAGACGGGGAGGGAAATGGGAGGCGGGGAGGAGGCAGAAAAAATTTTTTTTCAATAAAAAATTATATTTAAAAAAAAAGTTTGCCAAAGGTACAATGAACACTGGTACTAAATTGTTCTTTATGTCTTGGTTTTTAAATTCTATACAAATGTCTTGACCAGGGTTCCTCCACGTGAAAGCCAATGACTGGTACCTTCTGAGTGAGGTTCTACTTCCATTTAGAAGCAAGGAAGAAAATAAATGATAGAACGCTGGAATTCCAGAAATTTGATACAACAAAGACAGCTTGCATGATAACTTTAGAGTTCTCTCTATAGAAGACTGTTTCATGCCTCTCAGTGGCCTTTCTTCTTCCCCGAGTATGGCAACATGAGTCCCGCTAAGACACGACTGAAGGTGACTTTACCTTTGAAATCACGTCCTGCATCTCACTCCTGGGGTAAAATGTGCCGTCGTCATAGCGGAATCTATACAGCGTCTGCTCTGGCTTGAACTGATGCTTGTCAGTAACTAGAAACATGGAAATATTACAGCAGAATAGTGGCAAGTTAAATCATTACGAAAAACAAGTTTACTGAATACATAATCACCATTTATAAATAGCTACTGATTCCCCAACAAAGTAATGTCGGTCCAATATTTTCAACAGTAAAATCTGTAAAGTTTTCTCCTTTACTACGTTGAAACATTTCATACAATGATCTGAAGACTCGATTGAAGTTAATAATAATCAGGCCAGTGTGGTAATACTCTATAATCCTACAACTAAGGAGGCCGATGCAGGAGGATTGCTGAAGCAAGGCCAGCCTAACCTATCTAGTGAGTTTGAAGCCACCCTGGGCTACAAAGTAAGTCAGCATGGACCACAGAGCAAGGCATTGCCTCACAAAAAAAAAAAAAAAAAGTAAACTAAATTCAATTTAAAAATAGAAAAGAGTAGATACTTAGATAATAAGCAAGTTATTTGTTTATTCTATCCTCAATCCTAGAAGTGAATATTTGCTTGAATCTGTTTTATCATATGGTGGTTGGGCCAAGACCACAGAAACACCAATCCAAGTGTCTTGTATTCAGACCCCCAGAGATGACTGAATATTTTCAATGTGGAACAGATTCTAAAATTTTATGTCCTGTATTACACTGAGAAGCACTTTTTTTTTAGCATGTTACTTGTTTCCTTTTTTCTTTTGTTCTTTTTTCTCCCTCTTTCTCAATGAAAAATAAGAATGCTTAGCCTTCTGTGTCATCTATAGGGTAAATTTTTCATTTCTCAAAGCTCTAATAATCTAGACTGATGGTTTCTCTGGTGAACACTAACAAATGCTTAAGGAATCAATGCAAATCCTTCTCAAACTCTTCAAAAGGAAGGAAGGGAGGGAGGGAGAAAGGGAGGGAGGCAGTGAGGGAAGAAGGCAAGGAGGAAGAGAAGGGAAGGAGGGAGGTGGAAAAAGAAAAGAAAAGGAAAGAATAGTTCCAAACTCAGTTTATGAAGCCAGATAAGGATACCACCATGAAATAAAATCACAGTTTAATATCACTAATAAACAGAGCTGCAAAACTCGGCAGCGAAACACTACAAAGCTGTGAAGAAGGGTTCCTGGGGGAGGCTGTGCCTGGAGAGGCTGAGGGACACAGTGACCTGGGGAGGATGGAATGTTGCAGGTCCAGAGTCTAATTACAGGTTAGCTTGAGACACTCCCTGCCTTAAATGGCCATTTCTTGCCTACCTCTGTGTGGGTCCTTGGAGTAACTGATAAAATCCTCTTGGAATGTATAAATAGACTTCCAGTCACACTAGACATCCGGTCTCTCTCTCTCTCTCTCTCTCTCTCTCTCTCTCTCTCTCTCTCCTAACTGTCTTCTAAACAGATGGCTCATTCAACTTTACTTTGAGAATTGTGTTTTTGCAAAAGTACAGCTGGAAACACAGACTCAATCACTAGAGTATTTAGCACCCATCTCTTCTTTAAATGGAATTAATCTCTTAATGTGAAATTGCACAATTGGATTTCTTGGCCCAGGTTTTGGAGAATTAGAGACATTTTTAATGGTTTCTTTTCATAAAAATGCTAGAATCCAAATGTGACTTTAGAGTCATCAAATCCTGACTGTAGTATAATAAGCCTGGGCCCCTGAATTCAAACAGTAACAAATGCAAAAATACTGAGACACAGCTCTCTGGGTTATATTTCTCAGCAAAAAGAATTAACCGGGCTATAAATACAATTGTTCAAAACAGATTTTAATCCTTCTAATTTAAATATTTGAAGAATTCTTGCATTTCAAATTTGAAAATAATTTTAACAAAAATGCATTTAGTATTTTCACTTCAAGACTCTGTTACTGGACGAGGAAAATAACTCAGTGGATAGACACCTGTTGAGAAGACCAAAACCCTGAGTTCAGTCCCTGGAACTCACAAGGTTTCTGGAAGAAGAGAACTAATTCCCAAAAGTTGTCACCTAACCTTCAAACGTGTGCCAAGCCATGTGGATACACGAAAATAACTAAATATGAAAACTCTTTTAAAAGAAACCATTTCAAATATGCATATATTTAGATCAAATTGACCTAATTTCTCCCCTCCCCTCATATGGAGGGGAGCATATGGAGGTGTCCAAACTCCATGTGCTCTTTTGCTGAGGTTTTATTGTGACCTCCTGAGTCCACTTAATGCTGCCTGTGTGTTTATAGACATAGGAGCATCTACTGGAGCATAAGGAAGCCTTGCAGGGTTCAAATCCCCGAAGAGAACTGATTTGATCAGTACATATTATAAACATGACTTAAACATCACACTATATATCCCATAAATATATACAATTACTGTGTGTTGATTAAAATGTTTTATGAATTAAAGATACAATGAAATACACATATAAGAACACCCCAATGTAACCTTGAGCTTGGGTTAGAGGATATGAAAGACTAAAACCATCTGTATCAACATCTTCTCACTCCTACTTCAAGTTGCTGTATGGTTTAAATATGAATTGTTCCTCATAGGCTCATTACTTGAATTCTTAGTCCCCAGATAGTAGGACTATTTTGGAAGGTTCTGGAAGGGCTAGATAGAGTCCAAGAAAGCAGATTGCTGGGAGGCAGATTCTTGAGGTTTTATTATCCCTGACTGTTTCTTGCCTGTCTTTCTCCCTCCTTCCTGACTGGCCAAGAGACAAACACTTCTCTGCCCCATGTTTCCATCACCATAATGTGCTACTCAAATGCAAGGGGCCAAATGACCATGTGACCCTCTGAATCCATGAGCTAGAGTAAAACCTTGCTTTAAATTGCTTATGGTAGTTGTTTTTGGTCACAGCAAAAGGTAACTATTACAGCTGTCACCTGGGGCTTTCTATCACACCAGATAATGTGTATGATGCTTTAGATAATGTGTATTACTGAATCGAGTATAAAGTGATATACAATATTGTTGCAATTTACAATAAAAGAATCCTGCATCAGCCCAGAATGGAGTATAATAAAAGTTTCTTTATTTAGGGCTAGACTCACAGAAAAAGCAGTGGTAATCATTCCTTTGTGAGAGCAGGGAACTGGAACCGAATCCAGCAGCCAAGGGGCCACACACACTTGTACATCTGCATATATAGTACATGTGACCACGTTCAAAGTGGGCCAGTATCGTAAAAGCTATTGGCTGAAGGAGTTCCCATAGCATTATATGAAAGTCTCAGCCATTTGCTTAAAGTATGATACTTCTTTTATTCATTTAGCATGTAATTACTGAGTATCTAAACATGTTAGGCATAAAAAGCACAATATATATGGCTCATGTGTTAATGTTGTCTATGTCTTGAGTAGAAGCCCCAGGATAGTTTAAAGGAGACTAAGAGATAATTAATAACCAAAGAAACAAAATAACATTGAAATTTCAGGCAGTGATAACCACATGGAAATAATACAATGTTTACAAACACTTTTTGCACAAGCATGATTGAGTTTAATCCCCACGCAGATGGACACAGGTGGACAGTTTGAACCAACTCCAGAAAGTTATCCTCTGGTCAGCACACAGCACAAGCACACATGTACAGGCACACATACTAATTATGAATTCAAAACTCAGGAAAATTTAAAATTCCAAAATTAATGTATTAAAATGACAGACTGGATGGAAGGGCTTCTAAAAGTCAAAGGCTCACAGAAAAGATGAGTCAAGAATGTAGGGAATTTTGTTGCTTTATTTCCTACAGTACTGTAATTTTAGCACCTAGAAATGGCCCCTAGTTTTATGGGAAACTGATAAGCAACTGTTGAATGAGAGAAGCGAGAGTAAAGACCCCAAATAAGTGTTCCCTTTGAGTATGGGAAAATGTAGGCTAGGGTGGGCACGGTGTAGCCGGTCAGGCTGGTTAGGTGCCCACTTAGAGTAGGAATCGACTGTCCCACTACGCAGAGTGGTGCAGACCTTTGTGAAAGAGTTAAAACTTAGAAATAACACTGGACTCGAATCATGAGAAGCCGGGAAAAGCAATGAAAATAGATAATACCTTCCTCTGCTGTCTGTTATAAAGAAAACTCAAGCAGAAGTGGAAACAAGAGAAGAAATAATGGAGATTCAAGGGGCAGGGATCCTGGGAAGGAGAGCACTGTCTACGTAGAGGGATGATGCCCAAACTCTAGAAGGTGGCACCAGTCACAGGGGACCCAGCCAGAGTGATGGAAAAAAACTCATGAGGATGTGCTTTGTCTGTGCCCTACTGTGGGTTAGGGAAGGACATGACTGCAAAACTTCCTTGGTCAAATGGCCACAGTTTGGAATGGCTCGTCTTTTTCGCTGCACCCCACTTTTCACATTAGAGATCCTCATCACCACTCTCTCCTTGTTCTTGGAGTTGCAAGCCCAACTGACCACTCTCCAAGTTCCCTGCTGTAGTCTGATGCCTGTGCCATCCCTAATTCTTCACCACTTCAGCCTCTCCTGAATGAGACGTCTCCGTCAGGCAGAGCAGAGAGCTCAGCAGAGTCCAATCTCTCCATCCATCTCATCCAAACACTGATTACATAAGCTTTTGCAGTTTCTCCAGCCTCTCAGGCGGGCCAACTCCCTTCATATCTGTGCACCCAGCTTCAAAGGATCCTTTTTCTGTTAGCCCCAGGTCAAGCTCAGCCTTCTGGCAGGCCTGTGTGCTGCAGCCTTTAACCTTTCAGACTCCATGCCTTCATGTGAAGACACTCATCAGGTCCTGACCTTTAGTACACAGACAGTGGGTGTCCTGCTGATGTTAGTTGTCTTCCTTCCACAAGTTCTTCACACGATGCTGTTTCATGGAACTCATGGTACACCGACATGAGAGCCTATTGCGGTTCCCCAAGTGGCCACCATGAAAGCTTTTCCTACTCTAATAGAGTGCCATCATTTCCTCAGAAGGGATGCCCCTTCTGCTGTTTTAAGTTCTGTTCATTCTGAAATGCCCATCATTAATGCTACCGCGCCCATCAAGTAGTCTCACACATTCTAGTCAGAATTGGGCATCTCTCTTACCACAATCTGGTACTTATTAGTATTCTGGTGTTTGCTTGTGCAGTACCTGTATATTTTAAAGAATGGCAACTGTATAACCTTAAGCTCACGATACACCGTTCTTTACACGTTGGAAGCACTAAAAAAAATAAGCATTCTTTGAAATGAAAAATTGTACATGAAACAGATGTGGGATTCAGAGGTCATGTAAATTAATGTAAATTAATGAAATAATCACCATGGTGGATGATCCCATTTTCTAACAATGCTTGTCCCAGGTGAACACCTTCTTCAGGCCTGTGAATCTCCCCAATTTCCAGAAGCCATGACACAAATTCACTGCAAGGGAAAGACAATGGAACTGATAAAGTCTGCATCTTCCTGGGAAGTCTGTCTGGTACACATATCACAAAGCAGCTATGAAAGGAATCTTAAATATACAAAGCACCATTTTTAAGACATCCAGCAGGTTTCTCCCCTTTCCCTGCAGGCACAGAGTTCCCAACCACAGAAATCCTGTGTGCTGAGCCTCTCAGACACTGCACTCACTAAATAACGGTACTTGGGGATGTCCCTCTTTCCCAAAGACTTCATTCAAATATGGATTTAATTAAAAGATGATGCCCCTCCAAAAACAAATAGTCATGGGTTTCACTGAGATAAATATACAATAAATACAGACAATTTGAAACTAAAATATTCTCATATTTATACTTATAACTATAACACTTGAACATTTACATAAACAAATAAATATGTTTTAGAGTCATTTTTGTTCTTTACACTTAGGCCAGAGAATTGAAACTATGGTCACCCACCAAACAAATTATTTTCCATTTATCCCACAGGTGACAAACACCTTATATCAAATAATCAAGGGGCACAAATTCTCCACGTAGGTTGTTTACTTTAAGAAACACATATTAAGGCAGAAAAGTTGATAGGGGGCTTTCTATTTTTTTCATTAAATAAGAATAATACAAAAGAAAGACATACATAAGAGAAAGAGCAAAAGAGATAAGATAATTTAAGACAATAAAAGAGAAAAGCTTTAAGAATGTAAAATGCCATGTTACAAATGAGAACATCAGTGTCATGGTGCTGCTACAGGATTGCTTGGGACGAGGTATGTCAGCACAGGGACTGATAAACAATGGGCTCTTAGAAGGCCTGTGGGTCGAACTGGTTCATATAAAACCAAAACATAATTCTTCATTCTGATTTTCCCTACTTCATTAAATGCCTAACTTAGATGAGAAAAGGAGCTGATTTAAGCATGTGAAATGGTGATATTTTTTTAACGTGGGAGTAACGTCAGAAAGGAAATTCACAAGAAGCTTTATCAATGAAGCAAGGATAACCTATAACTAAGCTGCATGCCAATAAAAACTGCTGAGAAGCCCAAACTTGCAGCAACTCTCTTGCAAGTAGACATATCACCATGGGAACCCTAAAGTTACACCCATGGAATTATCGCAAGAGATGCCATGCTTGTGGTGCCTGACGGATCTTCTATGTATGTCAGATCCGCTTTCCTCCATACTAGCTATCACCCAAAGGGTGTTGATGGAGCACAGGTACAGAGCTTCGGTAATATCTTTAGGCAACGGTGGCCCCCTGCCACCCAAGAAGACGCCCTCTCTTAATAAGAGAGCCAGTTCTGGCCTTCTTTGTTGTGGGATATTTGAGAGGAAGCAAGAGAAGCAAGATGGAAGAGAGGTAACACCACATGGCAGAATGTGGATTAATATAAATGGGTTAATTTCAGTTATAAAAGCTAGCTGAGACAAGCCTAAAGGCCAAGCTTTCATAATTAATAAGTTCTCGTGTCATTATTTGAGGGCTGGTGATTCGAAAATAGTCTAACAGGAAAACTTACTTCACTTCAGCCTGAAGTTTCCTTGTCTACGGTTCAGATGTGGTCATATACTATCTCCTGGTAGCTAGTTACAGGATATCATGGGGGTCACAGATTTACCAACTCGATGGATCAAAGGGATATAGAAACCAAACTGTCCCAAACCATTGTATTAACCAATGGAAGTGTCCGGAGCTGAACAAAAATGGTTGATCACAGTCTGGTCTTCACTATAACTCCAGGGAACTGCGGACCGACTTCAGCATTCTTTAACTAGATGGATGTGTCAAGCTCCTTACTCCACAGTTTTGGCTTCTTTAAATAACTACAGAAGCATTAAATTCCTAAGTGTGGATTACTGGATTCAAAACTATTCACAGAAAAGCAAGACTAGAGCCTGGCCTACGAAGACCCAGCTGAAGCAATTACCCTTCCCATTCAAAGAGCCTCTGGTACCCAAACAGCACACAGTCTCAGGTTCTAGACCCCTCACATGACAATCTATTAGACTCTTTACCTATACCCCTTTTCTCTGACTCCAGCTGTACGAATTCTGGCTAAGCAGAAGTTAGACTGTCTTCTCTCTACCCTCCAATATCCCTTCACTTTATAGATTCCTGTCCAATGCTAGTCTCAGACCCTGCGCAGTGCCACATCAAGTCCATCATCCTGGCCCCAATAGGCATACCGCCTGCCTGACACTCCTTGCCTAAACACAAGCTCTAATTCCCCCTGATAACAAGGCTATCAGCAATTGTGGGGTCAATGATGACGAATGGATGGCTCAAGGGGCTATCCGTGACCCTGCATCATTGACCGTTACCTCATATCTCTCTCTCCAGAAAAATGCCAAATATGAGTAAGGATTCAAAACTGCTTAGGATAACATTTCTAAAACACAAATCACATAAAATAGACAGTACACCCAGGAGACTAGACTTACCTTCCAAGGAAGCACTTGGGGAACGTAGTCAGTTTTCTTTTTCTGTCTTTGATCAGATTTCCCTGTTGGCACATCATTTTATACAATTTCTCACCCTGCTCAGAGATCATTACCCAGGTGTCTTGCTCCATGCCCAATTTTAAGCCTATCAAAAATGAAATAATAAACATCACGTTAATGAAGAGCTTTCATCTATTCGCTCATACCCTCATTAAGCAAGCCCTTACTGCCACATCTACCATCAGTTAGACACACAGTGGTTCTAACTCTGCAACCCTTTAATATCATGTTGTGGTGACCCCCCCAACCATAAAATGATTTTTGTTGCTGCTTCATAAATGTAATTTTTCTACTGTTATAAACTGTAATGCAAATATTTGTGTTTTCTGATGGTCTTAGGTGAACCCTGTGCAAGGCTTATTCGACTCCCAAAGGGTTGCCAGCCACAGGTTGATAACCACTGAATAGATGGTGTAGGTTTGAGCTATATAGAAGTGAGATCAGTTTGTAAGAAATTCATAGCATCCTAGTGAGACTGGCCAGGCTATATTGCAGTGTGTGAGGCATCCCTGCAAGGATGTGCCCCAAGGACACATGGTTTCGCCAGTGGAGGAAGGGCAAATGAGATTTGCTTTACTATGCTTGCGGTCCATCCTGGAGGGGACTCCCGCTTTCTGCAGTGGGAGAGGCTCATTGAGCACATCTCACCTCTGTCAGAGAAATGCTATAAAATTGTTCACAAGAAGACCGTGCTTAAATGCAACATTGTGAATCTTTATATCTAAGAAAGAATCTTATAAGAGTCACTGAAACTGAGCAATCCAAGGCATAGGGTCCTGAGGTTTACATGAGACTACAGGTGCTCTGTGGGCTGTGGCAATGTCCTGGTAGAGCTAAATCATTTAGTTCCTCAGGTACCAAGGAGACAGCAATGTATTTTATGAAATAGGATTTTCATGAAATTTTATGTGAAAAGAGCAGATATTATGGGAAAGAAAGTTCTGTTGCTTTGTAGGTCACCTAGAGGGCAGGGTCTGGGACAGAGCAGTGGCTACTTACAGCTATGACAGAGAGGGGAATCAGGATGCCTTCCAGGTTCCAAAAGGAAAGGGAAGTGGAGACACTTTTCAGGCAAACTGCCAAGTAGAAAGAAGCCCGCTGAACCCTGACAATGTCAAGGGAAATCTGGGGGTCAGCACGGCAGAAGAGAAGGAGAGGAGGAGAGAAGACAAGGCCGGGTACAAAGAAGCACACAAGTAAAGGACACAAGTCCCAGACATGAGGGTGGATAAGCTGGGCAAAAAATATAGGTCAAGGAAGCCAGAATGAAAGCTAAAATCTTGCGACCATTCACAGCCAGTGGATGGGGCAACGAGAACCGCTGCAGAAGAAGTGTTTGAATTGCATTTTAGTCTTCAAACCAGAAAATTTGATACTGAGATTCTGTGATTTTTACAACGTAAGGACTATTAACATTTATCAGTAAAAATGAATAATTAGATAAGGATAGAGCCCGATAAAGCAAATATCATCAGAGACTTTTATAGAAAATGGATATTTTTTGCTTTCACTATTTTAAGCTTGGGCAGGTCATAGCCATTTGGGGTAAGTAGGGGTCAACCTGAGGGAAAGGTGTTTTCCTAAATGGTGTTCACAAATCACAAGAGCTCCCCCTTTCTGCACCCACCTTTCCGGCGTTCTCTTTCTTTCAAAATAGCTTCAAACCATTCATGCTTTTCTTCGGCGCTTTTGGCCATGCACACAAACCATTTATTTTTTGCTGTGTTATGTATCTTCCACCCATTCATAACAATGTGCCCACTGCTGTGAAAATCCGCTGCAAACAAGTCAAGAGCAATAAAAGAGCAGTTTGTATCACATCAGCATGACCATCCAACTAGTGAGAGCACCAAAGCCAGGAAATTAAAAATATAGTGTGGATGTATGCACAATACTCATATACTATACACATGAAAATTAGGGAAATAGTTTGGTATAGTTAGTGCTCATTAAAGGAACATACATACCTGACTCACAGGGCTGATATATTACATGTAATTAAATACTACAAGTTAAAATTCATTTTAAACATGTCCAAATATATTAGTAAATTTTTCAAAGTAATAAAATAAGAAAAGTTTAAGCATTTTTCCATAATCAAACAATCAAGATATTAAGTTAACCGTATCTTTCTAATGCTGCCTGAAAATATATTCTGTGTTTCAGAATAAAGAAAGTCTTACTGAACAGACCAATTTCTATTTTTTTTTTAATGAATGTTCCATGGAGATAAAGTCAGAGAACAGAATGTGTATATACAAGGAAAACACAACAAACAGAAACATATGCCTGCCAGTCTGTTGCTGCTGCGCCAGAATGGGATGTATTCTTTGAACCCACACCATTCCACAAGTAAAAGCAGGGAGACACAGTGACATAATAGGTAGGTGCTTACTAGCCAGTCACTCCACCGAGCGAAGATTCCAGAAAGGAGAAATAGATGGTGGCAGCCTGACTCAGCATCAGCACCAACCAAAGTGACACCATTTGTCTCCCTGAACATCCTAGGCAGCAACAGCAGGTACACTGGACCAGCCACACATAAGAGAGGGTTAGGGAACACCCAAGTGGCACCTGGCTTGGCATCTCTTCTCCAAAGCCACCTATTATATTCTTTTGAGAGGAAGTAGATGTTCTTTATGGCCATTTCTTTCTCATTAATGGCAAACAACCCCATTATCTTCTGTTGAGTGACTGATCCCCAAGATGTATTCTCACCCTGGTCACATCCACATCAGCCAAATTAGATCAAATATTGGTCTGCATTTTAGATATGTATAGTAAGCCCACAGAAAGCACAAGTTTTCATCATACACAATCTTAATATTTTGGTTTTTTTCCTATTTGTTTGTTTTTCAAGACAGGGTTTCTCTGTATAACCCTGGATATCTGGGAATTCACTCTGTAGACCAGGCTGGCCTTGAATTCACAGAGATATCCTTGCCTCTACCTTCTGAGCACTGAGATTAAAGGTGTGCACCACTACTGCCTGGCTCACAATCTCAAATTTTTAAAATAAGCTTTTGGGTTTTCTCATTTTTACATACCTATGTTTATATTCAATTAAAAAATAGCAGAACCTCAAAATCCATGGAAGATTATGGATTAACTTTTATTAGTTATGGATTAATTTTTATAATCAAGAGACTATAAAAATGACTTTATAACTATGCTACACTTTTTACTGAAAATTTTTAATGAAATGGTGAAAATATAACCAAAGCAATTTTTTTTATTAAAAGAATTTGCAACTCCTTCTTGATAGTTGTCACCTGACAAGGTCCTTACACATGAACCTTGCTCTATTGCTTAAAAGACCCCACATTCCCACCTATATTATCTCCCCTATAATCACACTCCAGAGAAAGACATTGACAAAGGGCATGTTAGGTCAACATGAGAAATACTGGGTCTATTTTAAAACAAGCACAGCATATTCTTCTCACAGACAATAGTAAAATTACTTAATACTCTGCTTCTCAAGCCGGAAAGAATCAATCTGCCCAAATAGCACAACAATTGCTGTACAAGTAGTGTTTGGAAAAATCAGATTGTACCAAAAGGACTTTAAACAAATTAGCTTGTGTGGGCAGGCAAGCAGACATCATGGATGTTTGAGTGCCTGCTAAGACCAGAAGAGGAAGACAGATAGATCCCCTGAACCTGTACTTAACAGTTACAGTTGGAGTTATAGTTACAGCATGCATGTTGGGAACCCAACTTGAGTTCTCCTGAAGAGTAGCAAGTGATCTTAATGGCTGAACCATCTCTCCAGCTCCATGTCATGTGATTTTAAATGGAAGAATAATGATTCTCCATTTAAAGTTCAGATGAGAATGTTTTCTATTGTGTTTTTAATGTAGCACTTGTAATTTTAAACTTACATGTAGTTCTTACACATGTGTATATATACACACATAAGGAGCCTCAAACTGAGTACACATATTTCATAATACAATTAGCATATATTTTATAAAATGAGCAGTTGCTCTCATTTTCTTTAAAATACAATACTATGTAAGTAGAACCACAGCACACTGTTCAAAAATATTCACTGTAATAAACTTATCCATAAAGATCATTCTCACTAAGACCAAGGAAAAGGTCAATGGTGCTGTTTCCTTAGTGAGTTTTGTTTGGTTTTGATTTGTACTGTTGCTAGGGACCCAACTCAAGGCCTCTTTAATGCTAAGTGTACACTCTGTCACTGAGATATACCCTTAGGCTCTTTTTCCTATTTAATAATTAAAAATATCATCAAATGAAATAACAATTGGGTGATTAACCCAGAATTTAATAAGCTTCAATGGACTTGAACTAATTTCTGAAGATGTCCAAAAGAGAATGGAATTTAAACTCCTACTCATTAAATGGGGAATGTTCAAGTTTAAAAATTCACGCTATCTAATTACTTATAAAACCAGAAATGTTCAAGGGCCAAACCCAAACCAGTCACGAATGACTTTAAAGCCATGTGACCAGAGAATTCCTTCCATTGACTCAGCACAACTCCACTGAAGGAGATGGAGTTCTTACAAACTGAGCCATAGCATACCTCCATGAACACAGTGGTCGTCATTTAATAACACTTTCATTTCAGCAAGCTGGAAAATATCCAACTACTGTACACACAAGCTAGGAAATTGGCGAATCACCAAAGTGTTCGTCCAAAATATCAAGTACTAATAATGATATCTCCATAAGACATTCAATGCTCACTCTGATGATCAACAGTGAATGTCTCAATCCTAAGGAAAAATTTTAAAGCCACTACCCATTCATAGGAATACTTAACATGAAGAAAATTAGTTGAAACAAATCTTTGATTCTATCAAATAATGCAAGAATGAATTCTGACATCTAACACAACGCAGGACATTACTTAGAACAAAAAAAGGCTCAAATATCCATTTAAAACTATAACACAAATTGCTCATCTCTTAACTCTTTGAATACTCAAATTTTTAAATAACATAAAAAATTAAGTGTATCAGAAAAGAGTATGCATTTGCAGTCTAGTTAACATTGTAAATCTATTATGTTTTTATTAAGAATGTATTCAGGGCACTGAGACAGCTCAGAAGATGAAAAGCTTTTGCTACACAGCTCCTGAGCTCAGTCCCCAGAACTGATTGAAGAGAGAAGCTGACTTCTGAAGGCTGCTCTCTGTCACCACATGCATGCCCTACTCACAGGCACATTATACACATGGAATAATAATAATATTGGTAATAACAATAATTTGTATTTAAGAGCAAAGCTTAATATTACAGTAGTATATTCAATACCTTAGGACGGTTCTAAATATTGACGTATAAATAATGGTTGCAAAATTCTCTACTTTATTTATTTTTAATATTTTAATTGATTTTTATTAACTATACATTTTTCTCTGCTCCCCTCCCTTCCTCTCCCCTCTCCCATGGTCCCCATGCTCCTAATTTTGTCAGGAGATGTTGTCTTTTTCTACTTCCCATGTAGATTAGATTCATGTGTGTCTCTTTTAGGGTCCTCATAGTTGTCTAGGTCCTCTGGGATTGTGGATTGCAGGCTGGTTTTCTTTGCTTTATGTCTAAAAGCCACTTATGAGTGAGTACACATGATGTTTACCCACTCCCGACCCGGGGAGGTAGTGACGGAAAATAACATTACAGGACTCTTTCAAGGCCCTGCAGTTGGAATGAGTGCACTTTAAAAGTCTCTATTTTAAAATGATTAGACTTTTAAAAAATCTTTGAGACAAAACAGAGCAGTAATGCACTACTTGCCCGTCCTACCTGGGGAACTAGGTTTGACACCCACCACAGCACAAAGCAAAACAAAACAAATGGAAAAGTATCCTAAGACTGAAAATTGCCAGTCTTATCACATTTAAATTTGATCACTATACTAAAACCTGTTGTTTGCCCATTGAACTAGAAATCACACTTTTAAAAAGTCAACAGCCTTCATTCATTCTTTCTGCCAAACCACACAAATATACCAGTTTGTAAAAGAGATTTCAAATGTACTATGAAAATTAATCCCTGGAATCTCAGTCATATTCCTACTATTGCTTTTAACATTGTTATCTAATAACATCATAAACAAACTAACAGCCCTAGCAGTAATCCTCTAGAAGGAACTAAACTAAGCCACTGAAATGAGCACTGAAATCCAGAGAATGGGTGAAGGGCAATCTGGCCTCAGACCAAACTACTGATATCCTCATTCAACATGGAAAATAATGTGCAAGACAATTTTTAAACGTTTTTGCTTTGGAAGGACATACTATCAACTCTTCTATGCTGTAGTATAACCATGATAGAATACAAGTCATTAAATATTATAAACAATTTGTCATAGTTATTTCTCAAATGGTTGGGAACTTAGTTCAGCAGCAGGGCTTCTGCCTGACAAGTGAAAGGCCCTGGGCTTAGGAGAATAATTGAGTTATATTTTGCATGTCAATCAAAAGCTAAGTTAGTCTTATACCAAACACAATTATACCTTCTGCAAGTTTTTAACCAAATAAGTGTAATTAGGTGTCTGAGAGCTTCTGCATTTTCTAAAAAGCACTTTGTCTACACCTTGTGTATAACAATCCGAAATGTGACTAGAATTCAAGTAAAATAAAATGTTTTCCCACCTAATTTTCCATCAGAAATTCCAGGCATGCTCAAAACTTTACCTCCACCCCTTCCATTTTGATCTAAATAAAGTATAGTTGTTGAGTTGGTGTGGATGACTGCAGATAAGCCTGATAATATTTTCCATTCCTTATCTTACCCAGTGTCCTCACAAGGAAAGTACTTGGTGGGGGACATGCTCAGTTTGGCCCGGATTTTCGGGAACATAGGGTCTCATTTAAAATCTTAGCTCATTGAAAGGAAATGAAAGGAATTACTAAGGAAATAAAAGAAGAAGAGGAAAGTTGATGTAACAACGCAAATGGCTTGTGGAAAGAAAAAACCACCGCTAAAACTCAATCCCACCACACAGCTGTTTCAAGGCTCTGGAAGCTCCCATTTCCTTGTCAGCTTCCCAGGACATGGATGGCAAAGACTCATAAAATGAAGGCTAGACCCTGCTCCAAACCAAACATCCGAATATGCCACAAAGACTTAGTTCTCAACTCTGGCTTCATGTCTTATCTTCTGAAATATTGATGGCATTTATTGCTTTCTCAAGAAAAACTCTACTTTGGAATTCCTCAGCCAAGGAGAGGATGCATGCCTGCATCTCACCTATCTCCATCCTCAGCATGTTGCTACACCCAACGAGACACTGCTAAGCGCTGATGCATTGCAGTCAGAATTCTACCTCACAGGGAGTTCACCAAGTGCACTTACCTGTGCCATCATCCACATTTTCCACTTCCATCACCTCAGTATTGATCCGACCTCGAAAAATGTACCGATGTCCATCTGTGGATGCCTTGCTATTCTTCAGCCGTCTGAAACAAATGAAACCACAGAGCTTTTGTTATTAAACTTAATGCAAGACAGTATATTTTAAAAATTCTTTGAAAAACGTCTCCGATTGGTCAATATCATAAAAAGTTGAAGCAGCTGATTTTACTCAATCTTCGCATTCACAGTGGTGCTGGTGAGTTGCTATGCAGGCTAGGAGGAGGGAGATTTGTGAAGCAGGATCTCATGTATCCTAAGCAAACCTAAAATAAGCTATATAGTAGAGGATGACCTTGAACTTCTGGTCCTCCTGCTTCCCTTCCCAAATGCTAAGATGACAGATGTGTATGACCAAAGCCTGTTTCTTGATTCTGGGGATCTAACCCAGGCTTCCTGCTTGCTATACAATTACTCCACCAAGTGAGCTACATCTCCATCCCCTTATATATGAATTTAGACAGACAGATAGATAGACAGAGCAAGCTTTAGGCTAAAGACTGTAAACCAGCAGAGGTATAATTACACACATTTCCTCAACATAAGACTTCAACACTGTCAAACCCAACTGACAGATGCTGAAAGTAAGTGATTTTAATGCCACACTTGAGTTTGAGAACTCAAAAATCACATCCTTCATTCTCAATTTTAGGTAACTGAGAATTTCCAGTTTTTTTCAAGACCTGGCAAGGAAACTCAATTAGTTCTTCTGATTCCTCTTCAGAGAAACTAGCCTGCTGGAAGCTCATAAGTCAAGCAATACTCAGCTGCAAGACTATGTTTCCTGAGGGCTGGAGATGACTCATTGTTAAGACAGTCTGCTGCTCTGCAGAGGACCAGCTTTCAATTCCCAGGGACTATAGGGTTCCTCACAACCTCTGTCATCCCAGCTTCAGACAATCTGGCACCCTCTTCTGGCCTCACCGGGCACTAGGCACACAAACAGTGTACCTACATCCAGATAAAACACTTAGACACATAAAAAGAAATAACTCTTTTAAAACATGGCTTTTGTATTATTTTTATGATAGGATCATGGTATAGATTTTTTTTTTTTTTGTTTTTTCGAGACAGGGTTTCCCTGTAGCTTTGGTGCCCGTCCCAGAACTAGGTCTTGTAGACCAGTCTGGCCTCGAACTCCCAGAGATCCGCCCTACCTCTGCCTCCTGAGTGCTGGGATTAAAGGCATGCACCACCACTGCCTGGCCATGGTATAGATGTTTAACAAGTCCTTTACCACATTTGCAATACTTCTAAAAGTATCATCTACTTTTATAATAATCTACATTTTTAAACTGAAAAATACCTAAAAAAGTAAGAGTTCCACCCAGGTCTACCCATGAACTTGTTAACAGGAAATTCCAGTTACATATTAGGACAATCAAGCAGGGGAAAGTTGTTTTTCTTCTAAGCAGTAAAGAATCTCCAAAAATATTCAAAATTAAAAAATCACTCAAGTCAATCAACAGACTTTAATTGGCATACCTTTTAATCTGACTCAATAATGGAAGTCTGGCTGGAATTTGATCCTTGTCATCCTGTGCTAGAACAGCTAGCCATTTCTGTCCACTAATGCCTTCCCGTCTCCTCTCCTCCAAGGCCTGACCTTCCCCGAGGGAGCAGGAGGACATGGAAGCTGTCTCCATATTCCTCCCCCTCCCATGCCTCCTTCCGTGGAAAGCACAGCACAGCTGGCTTTTCTTTCCTAACCCCCATCTGCACTCAGCAATCTTTCATGACGGCTAAAACTGACTAATGAATTCATCTGACCAGAGAGCCTGTAGCCCCTAACCAGCACCACCCCACACTCCTCATGTCCACTTGGACAGCAATCTCTAAATGTGCTCTGCTACAATTCCTTTATAAATCCCATTAATCAGAAATTCGGGCCAGAGAACCTAAGAAAATGTTAATAATAGAATGTCAGACATTCCTCTACATATTTGGTTCATATTATACATTTACTACATATATTTTCTAAGCAATAAATATTTAATTGTGTAAAAGTTCCCCTTTGTTTAATTAATTAAACAATTATAATAAAAAATTCTATCATTTCATTTGTATGTTTATGTTATGTATATTAATATGTATAATTATGTTATATATACAGGTGATTGTATGTTTTACAAGACAGAAAACAGGACCATGATATCATGAAAGAACATCTCTTGGAAACTGGTATCCTTTCAAACCTATCACATGTAAATGGCTTAATATAATTGAAGAGAGTTTTGGTCATAGATAAAACAATTGTGGCTACTCACACATACACTAACATAAAACACATGCACAACATGCATACACATTCACAACGCATACAATAACACAAACTTACATTCACATAAATCCACAAATAGCACACACACTTAGCCTAGACATACAGACACAACAATATAATCACATAATACACATTTACATAACACATTAACAAGCACAAACATACACAAAGACACATTCTCTTATATACACACAGAAGGACTACATATGAAATACACACAAAAAATTATCCACCATTGGGTCCTATTTTTAAAGCTATTAATTTTCTTTATGTACCACTTTGAATTTTGAACAGGTTTTATATCTTGCACGGTGACATTGATTTATAATATGTAAATCTTAGAAGTAGCTGAAATTGGGACATCTTTAATTTCTCAAGAAAATGACCCCACATGAAAATTCAGACCAATTTTGTCCCGAGTGTTGGAACTGCACCTTTGTATGCGTTCATTCCATCATTACTGTTGTCTATGTGTTTTACGCTACAAGAACTAATGTACAGTAGCAAAAAGCTGCAAACCATGCTAAAGTCCAGTGATAGGAAAAGAAGTAACAAACTATGATTAACTGAATAGGATAGAGTCAACCAATAGGATGCTGTGAAGCAGTTAATAAATGAATAAACTATTGCTGTATGGAACTAAATATACATTTAAGAAACTAATGACCAGAAAAGATAAATAGAAACATCTAAATATACTTTGACACTATCTTTGAAAGTTACCAAGTGAAACTACGCACAATCTTATTCATTGGCAGTACATGCTATACCGTAAATCATTTTTACCCTATTCTTTACTAACACTTATAGCACTAAAAGAATTCTGAGAGGAGATGGTTAATTTAACACATCGCTTTCCAAAGAAGGCGAGGGGAGAACTGAAATGAATGAACCGAGTCTCTGGTTCTCATGATTACAATATTATGGGACTTGAAGGAGGCTCAGGTTGCTCTGCTCTCAAAGTAGCTCTAGACCTCAAAGGCCTATGCTAAGGTGAAGCCTGTAAATGGACTTGGATGTTCCTGGTTAAAGGAATAGACAGTTCATGTGTAGGCTTCTCTAATTTTGGAGTAAAGAGGACATCCGTCTAGTTGAGTGGTCTCGATCTTCCTAATGCTGCAACCCTTTGATACAGTTTCTTATATTGTGGTGACCCCCAACCTAAAATTATTTTATTGCTACTTTATAATTATAATTTTTCTACTAGTAGGAATCATGGTGTAAATGCACATAATCTGACACGCAGGATATCTGGTAAATGACCACCAAAGGGCCGAGACACACAGATTGAGAAATGCTGATCAGCTTATCTCCATTGATAGCCTGTGCAGTCCACGCTGTACATTCGCTAAGGATATCTGCTTTACACATAGCAGGGTTTTACCCCAGTAAAACTTCTCAGCTGATTTCTACATGACTGTAAGACCACAGAACATAAGCATTTTCTACACCGACATTCATTTTGCCAAAGCTCTGGATATGATGACCACATATATAAACTTTCTGGTTGGGATGACTAAAATGGAAGCTCAAATGTCCTAACTGTTGGTACTAACGAGCTCCACCTACAGGCATGGGGCTGATGGCTCAAGAGTAACAGGGAAGGGAATGTGGGCCCAAAGTTCTCAATATGCCATCCTTATGAATTTTGAAAAAAAAATGATGAGGGAGACTGGAAAGGAATTGAAGCTAAAGCTGAGATGAGGTGAGCTGTGAGCGGTGAACGGGGAAGATGGATAAACCGAATCTCACATTGTTGAGACTCTTGCAGATATGGGAGGAAATGGCTCAGAAGCAGAATTAGGCCAGAGAGAAACACAACAGCATCTCCCACAGATAGGCCTCTCCTTGAGAGAGCTGTGGGAGAGTGAACAAGGTGTGCATACCCAGGTCAGGACACATTGAGCAGGCAGAGAGCAGACAAGGGAAGCTGGGGTGAAATGGGTTATAGGCAGGATGAGTTCTGGGATTCCTGCACGGATGGGGAGCCTGTGAGATGGAAGAAAGTATTTCCAGAGTGTGACTTTATTTTTACACGCTTACCTGTGTTTTCTTTTGCAGTATACCAACAGATTATCAAAGAGAAAAAACACCCGTTCTTGAATATTTCCAGAAGAAATTTTCATTAAGACTCCCCACATCAGCATCTCTGTGCAGGTGTCGGTAATGTTGGATCCCTGGGCGAGGAAAAGAAAAGATGTATTGTCTGATTACCTGATTTCTATAGTCTTTGTCGTGCTGGGATCAATGAAGCGCAGCAGAAAGCCAGACAAGCACACTGTGCCACAACTGAAGCCCTGATGGGATGTTTGTATGCAATTATTCGCTTCTAAATTTCACTTGTTTTTATTAACGTGCAATGTGCACACAGGACGTCAAACGAGTTACACTGAATGGCTTCTCCCTCCCATCAGTCCTCAGTCAGTCTACAGGGAGACTCTGGGTCTACCTAAGACAACTGAAGCTGTAACAACAGACACAGTAAAACAGAAGCCGGGGAAACCCAGGAGGCCTAAGCCCTACACAAAGAACTATAGACAACTAAAAAGCGCTGGGGTATGGGGTGGGAAATAGTCTTCCCTAGTTAAGAGCACACTAATTGGTCATCCAATATCAAACATTCAGCCCTAAACACTCAGGTGTAACGGGGAAGAAAGCACACACACACACACACACACACACACACACACACACACGAATGCCAAAAAAGGAGTAGGCCATGAACTTCAACGACAACAAGGAGGGGTATATGAGAGGATTTGGAGCCAGGGAAGGGAAGGGGGGATGACATAATTACACTATAATCGCAAACATAAAGATTAAAAATGACTAAATTATTAGTGTGTATCAATCTAAAGATCGTCTCTAATTACAGAGAAGAGGGGAAAAAGAAATAAAAACAGAAAAATGGGCTGGAGGATTGCTTAGTGTGTGAGAGCTTCCTGCCCAGCATCCAAGCCAGGTGGCTTTAACTCCAGTTACAGGGGATCCAATGCCTCTGGCTAATTCCTAAGAAGCAGTTGCCTTGAGAGGAGAAGTACAGTCAGAGAGAAGCAGCCATCTGCAGGCTTCAAGAGAAAATAGCTCCGTACACCACCACGGGACTCCAACAGGAGCTGTGTCTGTTCTTGCAGCCTGCTAACACTTCAGTCTGTTTGCTAGCCAGCACTGGCTGCATTGAGTCAGATTCAAGAGACCACCACCACAACAAGGAGCACAAGTTTTCAGTAGATCTCTCTGTCTGGTCTCTGCAGCAAGAATATTTCAGCTTTAAATGTATCTGGCTTCTTTTAAACTGAAGGCAAATCACTGGTTCTTGTGTAAATCAATGTTCCTATCTTGTGGTTTTGCAATTCAATGTTCAGAGCATTAACTGCAGTTTCATATTTCCACAGTAATTACTGGAATAGGTCTTGGAGTCAACTAAAACAATAAAGTTAAATGAAAACTCAAATCTATAATAAGAAAATTCGAAACAGGAAATTAATGAAGAGAATATTTTATGTTTACTTGATTATCCATGTTACAAACATATGTAGTCTTAGGAGACCTCTTCTTTAAGCTTCTTTTCATTTTGACAGTTTACATACATATGTAAACCTTCATACAGTTTGATCCACCACCATGTGTTCAATGAGCACAAATTACTGTGAACATGAACATAGGTTTCAATCCTACAGCATGATTTCCAACTACTTCTAATTTGTAGTACCTTATCTTAGGAACAATGAGTAAAATTATCATATAACAAAAAGATACGTATCAATTTGGTTATATAAGTTACCCTCAAAATAGTATGGAAGGGGCCTTTCCTAGCAGAAATTTCACAAAAGGTAAAGAATACATCTTCTTTAACTACCCTTACTGTAACACACACCAGCACAGTACAAAGGGTCGCTGCCATGTTGTTCTACCTGGAATGTTAAATAAATATTCCAAGTACGTAATCCAATTTACATATTCAGACACTAGTAAATATTTCCACATGACATAAAGCCTAAAAATATATTACATGACCTGTTGTTTATAAAATAATTAAAAGCATTTTATATAAAATTGACCAAACAACTGATTCAAAGTGTTCTAGGGTAGCAAAGCCATCAGACACTTTTCTTCTTTCAGGAGCTACAGCAGGCTGCCTTTCAAACTGCTTTTGAACAGTACTGAGTGTTCCTTCAATAGTGCAGAATGTCACTTAGCCTGGTGAGTATTTTACCTTTATTTTTACAATTAAGGCCAGTATTTAATTCTAAACACTTACCTATTCCCTACCAAATAGGCATTTAGTTTGTGAACAACTATGAATAGACACTTTATCCAGAATAGTAACGTCAGATTTTGAACATCTCTATATGTCAAGCAATATGCTAGACATTTTCTCCTGGCATAAGTTTCTACAAAGATGCACTTCCTGTGATAAGAGACTATTAATTAGCTAATTGACTCCTACTGGAATTAAGCTATGTTATCAGTCCTCCCTTCTTTCTGGATGTCAATCACAATAGACTAAAGAGAAGTAATAAGAGAACATAGCTTCAAGTCAATTGTAAACTAAATCAAATGTAACTAGCAACCAGATTCTAGCGTCAAGGACTGATCTCAAAACTGCCGTGTAGAGCTGGGAACATGCCTGTGATATTAGGAGTCAAATCTGAGTGGTCATTAATAAACCCGGTCTACATAGCAATTCCCATAGCAATGCCTGGACCACAGCATGAGATTATTTGTCAGAAACAAAACAACAACAACAGCGAATTATAAAATTGTATTTCCCCCTGTGAAAAGAAATCAAGAAATGTCTCATTTCCCTTCTGTTTCTTTCCTTTTTTAAAATATAACAACCTTCATCATTTGCCCCCAACCATTCCAAATTAATGATTCCTTCTCTTATATTTTATTGGGATTTTCCCCACATTTGTGAGACTACTTCCAAATAAACCCGTCAATGACTTTAAGCTGAATTACTAAACAATGCCATGCTATTGATATTCTTTTATCCAAACACTTCAGTGTGAATCTAGAAGCTAAACCATAAACCACATAATTGAGCCCCGAAAGCAAGCTGGAACTCAGAATGAGTTCTAGGGAATGAGTCGACAACTCTGATTAATCTCCTGGTGAATTTCTTGTTCAAAGTATATTAACTGTTGACATATGAGTTCAGTAAGCCTGGCACATTACTTGGAGATTCTCAGCTTATGGCTGCCTCTCATTGACTCATTATCAAAATACAGTAGGCACTGTCATGCTCCCGGGAACTAGTATAACAAATGGCACTGAAAAGAGGTATAACGTCAAAGATGAACAAGCAAAACATGACATCTTCTTGGTCATAGTTACTGCATAAGTGCTGAGAAAACCCTAATTTCTTTAATGAACTTACAGCCAAACAAGGTAGAAAGCAAAGCACCTTCTAAGAATCAGCTATATTTTTCCTAGTTGCCAATTTGCAAGCCTAAACTTCAGCTTATTGTTTTGAGAAAGTGGGCAAATTAAACTGTCCTAACTTATAAGTCAACAAAAAGGGAGTAATAACTTCAGGAAATGTTCACACCCACAGCCACAATCGAGGCTAACCCCTAGAGGCTCGTGTCCTGAGACTTAGTTTGACAAGTTGAGGTGGTAGAGTCTTTAAGGACAAGTGAGTAGGGAATGCAATTAGGTCAGGACACTGACCTCACAAAATATGGAGGAGATATTATGGGACCAGTTTAGTTCCTATGAGAATGAATTACTAGCGGGGAGCCTGGTCCTTCCCCCTGCACCTCTACTTTACAAGTGACTTAACTCCTCCTCATACACACCAAACATGCCCTGTCATCTACTCTGAAGCTCTCACGGCCCTGAGCAGATACTTTTGATATACTCTTGGATGAAGCATGATTAATAAAAACTCAGAGACAGATATTGGGGTTCAACTTGAAGACCAGAAAAGCAAAGCAGCCAGCCGCTGGCTCTTACCTCAACCTCAGTTCAAAATGGCAATTCTGCCTCAGGAATCTCAAAATGTGACTGAGACTGAGAGCTGTTTCCTCCCATTTTACAATCCTTGCTAGGGTTGGGACTAAAGGCATGCACTACCCAGTTTCTATGACAAACTAATGTGACTATTGGAATTAAAGGTGTGTGTGTGTGTGTGTCACCACTACCTGGTCTATAAAGATGAACAGAGGGGCTGTTTGACTCTCCGATCTTTAGGCAAACTTTATTTATTAAAAAAAAAAAAACAAATGAAATACCACTACACTTGGATGCCCCAGATCATGAGTTAAGTAATCAAGCTTAGGTATTCCTTCAGGCACATACATTAGCAGCTCAGTATTTCCCCAGTGGTGACCGGATGATCATCAGGGAAGGACCTCTATCTTCCCATGACCGAATTAATCCAAATAAGATTACAACTGTCTTAGATTGCTATACTGAGTTTTAAATGGAGTGCTAAAAGATTTCTTAAAAATTATTAGATTAGAACCTATTCACTTTATCTAGGGCTTGGTAAGATTGTCCGAAAGAATGGTTGCCCCAAAATCATTTTCAAGTCTGACACTGTAGCTTTTCTATTGGTGATCTGACCTACACAGTTTCTGTAAAATTAACTTTAATTTGAAAAACCCATGGTTATTCTATTTATAGTTATTACTGTTATGATGAAACATCACAACCCAAAGCAAGTTGGGGAAGAGAGGGTTTATTCAGCCTACACTTCCACATTGTTGTTGATCATTGAAGGAAGTCAGGACAGGAACTCAAGCAAGGTAGAAACCTGGAGACAGGAGCTGATGCAGAAGCCATGAAGAAGTGCTGATTATGGGTTTGCTTGGGCTTGCTTTCTTATAGAACCCAGGACCACCAGTGGAGGGATGGAACCACCCACAATAGGCTGGGCCCTTCCCTACCAATCCTTACAATGCCCTATCAGCTTGCCTGCTTACACCATGATTTTCTGGAGACACGCTCTCAGTTGAGGTTCCATCCTCTCAGTGACTATGGCTTGCGTCATGCTGACAGAAAGCTAGATAGCACAATGGCTGAGATTCGTATAACCTTAAGTAATTGTGATGTTTAATCTGCATTGTCAACTTGACTGGATTTTAAATCACACCTCTAAACTGTCTGTGAAGACATTTCCAGAAGTTTAACTGAGAACAAAAGACACATCTGGACTGTGGGAGCAGCACCTCCTAGGCTGAGGTCTTGGGATACATGAAAGGGGGAACACAGCTAAGCACCAGTTCATGCTGAGGACACAATGTGACCAATGTGACCGTCACTTTAGTGTCCTGCCCACCATGCCCTCCATGTCATGATGCCCTTGCTTCAAGTTGCTTTCACCAAGCATTTTGCCTGAGCACTAAGTAGCTAATAGAGCAATATAGCAGCCATCACTAGTTGAGTTCATATATTGTGAAAATAGGAAATTCTTAAGGGTAAAATCTGATGGAAACTTCAGAATACTGTATCATATTTGCAGAGCTCTCGTAGTATTCAAAGCTTGCTCTCTCACACTCATTGCACCCTTGAAATCACCCACACTAACTACAACAGAAGCCTGATGTATTGCCCCAGGGAAAAAAATAACTTGCAGGAACCCAGACTAAACCCCAAGTCTCTTTAAAAGCTATCACTTTCTTTCCTCATTATTTCATATGACTTGAGAACAAGAAATTTCAACTATTTATGTAAATTCTACCTAGACACCATTATAAATGATCATTTATTATCACAAAGTTCTAGGGGGGAAATTATTTGTGAGAATTTATTACAAAACCAAAACCTTTTGCAGGGCAGTGATGGTGATGTCTTCAGTCCCAGCACTCAGGAGGCAGAGGCAGAGGCAGGTGAATCTCTGAGTTGGAGCCATCCTGGTCTACAGAGCAAGTACCAAGATAGTGGGGGATATATAGAGAAACCCTGTCTCAAAAAAACAAAAACTAATAAACAAAAGCAAAAAATTTCTTTGATTGATGGGACAGTGTGACCCTGGATAAGTGAATGAGAAGAATTTCCACCCAAAGTTGGAAATAGTGCAAATCTATCCCTTGTGAGGCATAGGTGCTATTCAGGGCAGGAATGCTATGTCCTTGAGGGGTTCATGAGAGACTTACAAGAGTTTCACAAGGAGCTCCTTCTTAGCATTTACCCCAAGTTTCTAACAAGGGACTCTGCCACCTTTGAGTATCATCGTTCCACCTACAACAGAACTTGGACTGTCCTAACCACACAAGAGTCTCAACATTTATAAACAACTACTACCAACAATCGAGAGTACCTCTTTAAATTATTTCTGTCCTCTCAGGGCAGAGTTAACCCTGGGCTTCTACAAAGTACTCTTAGAAGAGTAACATACCCTAGTCCCATTCTATAAAAAATTAATAGCTCACCTTATCATTATTATGGGCTAGAATACATAGCCAGACCTTATCAGAAGTTAGCAAGCAAGTGGTTCAACCTCTCTCTAAGTTTCAGGCTCCAAAGTCCTGAACTCTCAATTCTATGGCCATATCTCATTTACTGATACCAAAATCTTCTTAAGACAGGGCTCAGCACTCTGTTTGGAACTAGCCAGTCTTATCAAATGCTCAGCCTCTGACACAGCTGAGTTCTTGCTGGTTCCCTGCATGCTTAGCAGAGCTGATGAAGCTCCACTCACTTCCTCAGCTTCAAGACTCCTTTTGTAATATTGTAAAACTCAGGGCTGGCAGCCAGCCTTCTGCAACTATAACAGATACCTGAAATAAATCAGTGGGTTGAAAAGGGAAAGTTTGTGTCTAGTTTCATGTATTCCAAAATTGCAGTCCTTTGCCACTTGGCCCCATTGCTTTGGTCTATGGTGAAACTGAACATCATGGTGGAAGTGTGGGTGGAGATGGTTGCTCATGTCATGGAGGAAAGGAAGTAAAAGGGAGAAGCAGGAAGACCACAGCACCTCAACGGTCCCTTTAAAGGCACCCTTCCCAGGCCTCACCTGAAAGTACTACTACCACACACTGGGGAACCAGCCTTCAACATGCATTTGGGGACATTCAGGTCACAAATTATAGCAACTGACCTAATTGATAGTCCTCTGCTGCAAGCTACGTGAAAAATAACACAATCCATGGCTGTGCAAAACAACAACAGTGTTTAAACAAATCCTTTTTCTCTGAGTAAGCTCATTTTTTTTTAGGCTGCACACTAGAAGGAAATGAAATTACAGCAGCAGATTCCACAGTTCTGAAAAGAGTCTCTGAAGTTCTTGTTGTAGTGAAAGGCCTTGCAAATTATACAGACAAATCCTGGAAGTTTAAGAGAGTTGGTTTTTCTTCCAGCATTTGACTGACAACAAAGTTGCAAAAGCAAACTTGGCTCCATTTTTCTCAGCCCAGCAGGACAACCGCCCTGCAGGAACGGAATTATCATCATGAATAAACTATAAAACACACAGACATTCTCCCTTATTGAAAGAGGCCACATTCGTGCTGCAGGAGGGCCATCCTGAACACACCCCATGGAAGAATACAGACACGGGAGGGGGGTAGGGGGGAAGCTAAGTCAGACCCCAGTTCGCACTTTCAATGATTCATAGCAGGGGGTGACCAAATAGGAGGATTGCCCCAAGTCAACGTTGATGATTTCTTTGCATATCTGACTGAATATAATTTTAGGTCTAAATGAAAACTAACAAATTGAAGATAAAGTTAGTTAATGACAACTCCCTGAGGATAAAAGTACTCTCTCGATTTATGTGATTTGCACTTGGCTGTACATTTTCATTGCTGTTTATATTTTTCATTGTCCTAATTGCTTACTTGATCATAGTAAAAAGACTTTGCTAGCTCAAAGTTCATATTCATTTAAGTTACGGTCATTTCAAACCAGAATTTTAGCTTATTTTTATAGCAGAAGTGCAGGATTTCATTCCTGTGGAGTAACTGAGACTCAGCATCACCAGTCACCATAGCTAGAACATCTCATTCTCAACCAGGATCTTCATTTGCTTTTTTATCTTAAAAAATAAAATAAACAGAAAAGCATTCTTCAATGACTCATAAAACTCAACTTTCCATTTTGACTGGACAAATAAGACCAAATCATAGTGATTTCCTTTGGTCTAGAAATGAAGAAATCAATGCACAGAGCGATTAGGTAGGCTCGAAATGAAATTCAACCTCAAGTCTCCAATTTAGGAGTCTAAAAATGATATCACAGCACATGCAATCCTTTATTTTCCCAAGCATTCAGGTTCTGTACTTGTTGATTAAAACCAGGACAGGAAAAAGGGAACTGTGATACCCCTAAATTCTGAAGTGCCAAAGCCTGGAGGCACACAGTATTTATTGGTTCCATCACAAATTTCTCAGGTCAAGATGACCTCCATCTTACACGTGGGTGAAAGTAATAAGAAAAGCACTTTCAGGGCGGACTACGGTCCATGGGCTGCTGGAAGATGCCCACGTGTGGTTCTCTCCATTGAAAAGAAGCCCCGCATATGACTCCACAACTACACGGAGCTGAGAAGTTGAGCAAAGAACACGTACCTCCCAGCCTTCAATGTGTGACTGCCACTCTTCCAAAGCTTCCAGTTTCTCCATCTGTCTCTTGGCCTCGTTTATGTTGGAACAGACAGCTTTCATGGCTTGGAGGGCTTCCATCAATGCTGTGTAGTCACCGTGTTTCCGTGGAGTCCGCTTCAGTAATTCCTGTTTATACACAGAAAACAAACCACCCTTTGATCTCCAGTTCTGTGGTCCACCAGGTTCAGACTGACCAGGAAATGCAAACTACAAAGACGGTGACAGCCACGCTGCTAAGTGACATCATCAACTCCACTAAGATAAAGATCAAAGGCAAAAGGTCAAATCAATGAGTAAGCACTATTTAATGCTCATTTTTGTAGTCATTGTGATCTTTCCTCAAACTTAACTGCAGTTTAGAACCGGCACAAGGTTTCTTCTCTCGCACAAATCACCAAATATCCCACCTGAACCATATCAAAGTTTTTATAATCTGACTTTTGTTATAACAGAAGCATATCAGTATACATTAATTTCCTTTTCTTAAGAGTATTTACCAGATCTTCACATAAATAAGCACCACAGTTTCAAAACTGAATCAAATTGATATTTCTAATATCTTTTGAGAAACTATAACAATATGCTATGAATATGGCAACATTTGTATATATTTTCTTCTCTAGCAAAAAGCACTAATTGATCAGTTCCACACCATCCCACCATTAGAAGAGAGATCTATGTCACCTCCACCAGTTGCTCTTGCTCCTTCTGCTTTTGATATTTGAAATGAAAAGAAAAACAAATAAAAGTACTATCCCCAAAGCAAAAACTAAGACCTAAATAAGGACGCTTCTTTTCATTTCAAATATCAAAAGCAGAACAATCTGTAATATTTTAAGTGTATTCAATAGTCTTCATCGCTGTTCTTTCGAAGCACAAAGCTAAACATCTTCACCCACTGTCTAGACAGATGTGACCACACTGTTTTTTAATTAGCCATTTGTTTCTTTATGGCAGTTGTCATCATCAAGGCACTAACACAATTAGAGAAACCCTGAGGCGTAATTTCAGGTTGTTTTTATTTTTATTTCTCGACATGCAATGGGAAGGCAGGCAGTTCTTAGCTGTTTCACTGTTGAATACTTTGAAATAAACTTTGACCTTGTGTTTGATACACATCACACTATTCCCAAGATGAAGTCGGAATTTTAATTCTGGACCCCAAATCCATAAGAGGGATATGCAACCTCAGAAGTAAATTCTCGGAAACAAAGACTTTTTAAAATTATACGAAATGTGGACGTCAATCTTCAGGACAGAATGTGGGTCCCTGGAATGGTACCCAACACTAATCTCAGGACTTGAGGCATGAGTTGGATAAATGTGAAATGAACAAAAAACAATGACTCTACTGGTCACTCACTCTCAGATTCTGAAAGTTCTTCACAACATAATCCAGTGCATTTTAACACTTTCCTCTGAATAAATAAAACCACTCAAAAGAATCCAAGATTAATTTTTCAATATAGGCCTATCTGTATATATAAGTCTTTTTCATTTTTTGTGAATGGAAATTGCCTTCCCAAAGGGCAAGGAGGCCACCTCTGCTTCACGTTTCTCAACTACTCTCTTTCGTGTAGATGTATCTATGTATCATAGATATACAGGGATGTATCTATCTATAATGCCTATAAAAATAATTAAATATAAACATGTAAGGCCATCCCTAATCAGCCATGAGTGATTAAACACAATCACTTGTTTATGATGTATTCTTAACATTCCCTTCTTGCCCTTACAATAAAGAAAATATCTGGGACCCCAATAGGAGATCAGGGATAAGAACAACTATGGGTGCATAAGCATACTGAATCCCTTAGCTGGAGATTTGCAGGGATGCTCAGAGCATCAGAACATATAGAACCATGCTGATATTGATACTGCAAGTTATAGGCCATACCAAAACTTTTCAGCTGGAGGTCCCTGCCTTTGCTTCACCATAAGGCTTTTCACAGCTTAGCTAAGCCACTCTAGACCAGTTTTGTAATACAAAATCCTTCTTTAACAAAATGCTAAAACCATTTTTATAGGCCGCAGAGGTCCATAAAGTGTCTGCCACATAAGCATGAGGACCCAAATTCTGATCCCCAGAGTCTGCGTCAAAATCTGGGTGTGATTGTCTGCCCCTACAACCCTACTGGTAAGGGTGAGAACTGAGACTCCAGAACCCCCGACACTCATTAGTCATCCAGTTTAGGCAAGTTGATAAGTTTTAGGCTCAGTAAAAGAGAGACCTTGCTTAAAAAAAAAAAAAAAAAGTAGAGAGCAATCAAGGAAAGATACCCTGAAGGTGGATAAGCACCCTGACAGGCAGACAGCAAAGGAAGGAGGCTATAGGTAAACAAGCAGATGGTAAATTTCTGAATTCTCTATCCAGAACAAAGGCTGTGTGCAAAACAGCCCCAACACACACACACACACACACACACACACACACACACACACACACACACACACACACGAAGCCCCAGACATTCCCCAGGCTGGTCCTGGACATGTCTCAATTCTCATGAAGCTGTGTGCCTAGCAGCTCCCTCTCCTTTGTATACATTGACCACACCCAGATAAAGGGAGAGGCCCCTGATCATAACACCAAAACAATGAAAAACTTCAAGTCCTCCCTGGGGTTTGGATTTCTGAATCTCCTCAGCACTTATTGGGAGTCTTCTGTGGGTGTATGTGCTTCTTTTTCTTTTTTAGCAAAGTTTTCTTCCTACCATGTCTGAGGTGCTCCCTTCCCAGACAGTAACATTTTTTGAAGACTTGCCTGCAAGTCCCTCAGAGGATCACCTAAATATTAAGGTCAGGATAAACTGAGTCAAGCCATGAAAGCATGGCATGGGGCAACCACTGGGTTTGCTGGCATCCCTTCCCTATCCTGGAACAGGAACACCACCACTGCTACATTTAAGGAATGATGGAAACTGCAGGCTGGTCGTTTTATTTTTCCCACTTCTCTGATAGGGAAGGTTCACTTTCAAATTTAGTTCTTCTGCCTTTGTTTCAGAGAGCAAAAAAAATCTTTCAGACAGCCCTGACTAAAAGTGCCATGGTTTGCACCCACTCCTTGGGTCGAGGCTGCAGATCTCTTACAAGTTAGTCAGGCAGCTGGCTCCAAAGAGACTTTCTGAACTTTACTCCTCATGAGATTGGATTTTTTTTTATCTTTATCCTAACAACCACAGTTTTCTCTGATTGGGCAGGATCTTGTTAGAGTCTTATCTAGTCTTCTCTGACTGGGTGAGATCTTGTTAGGGTCTTAACTTGTCTTCTCTGACTGGGTGGGATCTTGTTAGGGTCTTATCTAGTCTTCTCTGACTACACAGGATCTTGTTGGCATCTTATTGCGTCTACTCTAGTTGAGCAGGATCTTGTTAGGGCATTATTTTGTCTGACTTCCAACATTCTTTAGTTAGGGTCTTAGCTCCTCTCCCCTAAGTCGGAAGAAAAGGAACCATTGACAGAGCAGTTAGCAACCTATTGGGCTGTTAGGTAATATAGAAGTTATCTGCCACCCTACCAGAATTTTGACCAGAAGTCAGCTAGTTCCTTTTTCTGTTCTATGTGTGAAATAATTGGAGAGGGGGAGCAAATGTAAATTAAAATCTGAGAACTGGATTTGAGGGGCTTAATCTGGAGACTACCTTCATAGAGCATAAAGCATTCTACAAAGATCCTGTCTGGGGGCAACTTAACTGGGGTTCATACTGATCCACCAGTAGCCAAGAAGTGTGATGCTGTCTCTGTGATACTTTCTGACACCTCTCACATTAAGGAGGATGCCACATCAGTGAACTATGGCTCAAACTCTAACCCAGGGAGAAATGATATGGAAGAGGGAAAGTTATTAGAAGAAAACCCTTCACCCAAAAAAACCCAAGTAGTAAGTGAAAAGCCTCCAGGGATCTATCCTGATCTCTGGGAAGACCAAGACCCACAGTAACTTGTATATGCTCACCACCATTATCCCAAGGAGAAACAAAGTAAGTGTCCTTGTACTCTCCCAACACACAAAAGGACTGTTTCCTTTCAGGTGGAGTTATGTTCATCCAGGCCTCCTTTACTTTGGCAGAACTGAATGACTGTGATGTTCTATGGAGGATCCACACAAGGGTGATCAATATTTTGAACTAACCCAGATATCTGAAGAATGGCGCGAAGAAGTAATGATATCATTAGTACAAGCACTACTCTTCTGGAGAAGAGAAGAGCGTTAGGGCAGCTCTCTTGAAGCAGGAAGGATGAAAGTGGACATGGGCTTTCCAATGGGGTATAAGGCTAGACCCTCGCAGAAGTCCTTCTGAAATCCCACTGACCACATGAAGGATGGAAAGGACGTTTGTTTTGCTGTGTTATAGAGGGTCTTAGAAGGCTAAAGTCAAAACTCCTTCTTAGTGCCCGTTATACACTACAGGAAGACAAGGAGGACTGCAATGGAAAAATATACCAATGTATCCTGAATCACTGGAGAATGCATTCCTAAAAGCCATGCTCTTAACTCATACAGCTCAGACACTCATAAAAACCTCCAGACACTAGTAGCTGTCCCAGACAAAACAATAGCAAGGTTTTTTTTAATTTGTCCAGGTCACAAACTCAGTCTTTTTATAACAGAACCCTGAAAAGAAATAAAAAAGGACCAGCACCATGGGCAGTTAGTGGTCACAAGAGCCAATCAGATAAATGCTCTCCCTCTCCTCCCCACCCCCCTACAGTCTAAGCCTAAGGCTTGCTTCCTCTGTGTGCAAGAAGGTCACTTCCTGTTGGAAATGCCCTCAGAGGCTTCTTGAACCTTGATTCATCTGTAAAGGAAATCACTGACAACACCAATGCCTTCCAGCCCAGCTGGGCTTCATTCCTTTCCATAATGATAGGTCTGGTGGTGAAAGGGCTTCCTATACTGGCTCCTCTCATGTTCAGACAATCTTGAAGAGCCCTGTGAATTTGGGACTGCAAGAAGCATAAGGTTAGATTCATGACTGACTGAGGAGTGTGATTATTAGCATTGACCCTGTACCCTGTTTCCTGATCCTGAAGGTTTATAATTCAGGGTCTATTAGGCCAGCCCCTAAACTGCTATTTCACTCAACTGTTTGTTTGTTTGTATGTTCAAGGGGAGACCTCCA